TGGAAGACATGATGGTCAGATCAGAGACTATTCCAACCAGGAAGTCTTTGTACGATTCCCTTATTCCAAAAGGTTACACACAACCAACGATGGTTCTCTTACAATAGTGCGGTCTCCGGTCCACCAGAACCGACAAATACTGTACTATTGTTACTGAGCCACAACATTTCAACCAGAGAGTCGTAAAAGTCGTAAAATACTGGTATTTTACAACTCCCTGATTTGTCCCACGAGGCTGTGCACAAGATCAAGAGCATTGCTGATTCGCATTAGTTTGAAAACGCCCCTGGACCCATGGCCCAGTCTATTTAGGAACATGTACTAGTACTTGAAATGCAGTTTAGCTTGAGCAGTCCTCTACATGAAGCAAGGCACACGGGTGAGGAGTGAGAACACGAACCGACATGAAGCCAAACCGTGGTACAGTGGACAGCCTGGCAGTGTTCTTAATCGTATCCAAGTCAGCAAGGTTCCTACACAGCAAACTGCCAGTGCCTCGGAAGAGCAGGAGCTGGCCTGGAGGGCTTGATAACATGCTACATGTGCATGTATTGCCAAATTCCCATTGCCCTGCAGTGCAGTGGCCCAATTCACGGCCATGTTTCGTCTTGCTCACAACGTCATCGACAGCGGCAGAATGACTGTTACCGTCTAGTCACAGGGAACCGAACTTTGAAGAGGATATCACTCATCCACCTCCACCTCGGGCTTTAGGTCATCAGCCATGCATACATCCATGCACCTACATGTATGCATATTCCTAACACAGTAACGTCTGGATAACGAAGGCCCAAGGCACTATATTCAGGCTACTTGTTGCCACGTTATCGACGTGAACGCACAGCTCCTAGCACACGGCGGTTACGAGGTACGTTGTGGTCGAATGGCTGGTAAGACACCCTGGAGGTAGGGAATTCCTTGCAAGTCCTCACCAAAAGATCTTCTAAGATATTTAAATTCTCAGTGATTAGTAGTATTGACGTGCACGCAGGCAGAAGACTAGCAGGATCGCTCAGGTCAGGGCCTACCTGTCGTCGCTTTGTTGTCGTTGCTGTTTCCCATCGCTTTCAACATTAATATGGTGGTAAAGACACACCTTGCAATATGGAACATTGCCTGTCTCTTGGACTCCCGTGAATTGGCCTAGAGCATAGGAATACGTTCCACTTGTTCCGATCGGTACATGCATGGTCTTGATCTAGGAGCAATTCAAAGATTAGTTAGCCGAGGGCAATAATTGCGGGAATAGCGAATAGGGCACTGTGGACCTGAAGGCATTATTGACCTAGGGCCTGAGTATTGGGCCCATATATTTGACACATTTCACGCCTGATCTGTTTGGAAGACGTACCATTACCTTCGTTTCCTGTGACAATCCTAGCTAGGTACCCCTAGCTAGAGATCTGACTCTGTTAGTAACGATGTCTCCACTGACTCCAGCTCCCTGAGCTGAGGTTTGGCCATACGCTTACACACACGCGTGTATACTGACTGTCTTCAATTCCGGTTGAAGATGAGTGACTGGCACACATTACGGCTTGTTTTCAACGGTACGGTTCTGTTCTCGTCACTCTCACCGGATGCCACAAGGCACTATCATTCCGACTGTAAAGTATTACACGCCGCAAACGGTCGTAAAAACTGCTGTCCTTAGCTTTGCCAATCGTTTGACTTGAGTGCCATGTTCCCTCTCCACTGGACACACTCTCTCTCTCGTTAGTGAATGAGAGAGTTTGACATGACATGTTGAACGTTTGCTGGCGGGGCCATCACAGTGGGGTGTCCTCAGCAGTTCAGTGGTCGTAAGACTACCCTGGTGAGTCGGTGAGGGAACAGTGTCCCTGTCAACGAAACGCTATCAAAGTATCATTAGAATGTTTTAAGTTATTTACCAAGTCATTCCCATGTACCATGTTCCTTGGCCATTACGTTAATGACGAACAATCGACAGAAAGGGATTTGGATCACAAAGAACTAACTTCAAGCGAGTGTAGAAACGTCAGTTGGTCTTGATCAGCCCCCATGGGCGATGGGAAGGTTTGGCATGGCCAAAATCACCCTTCACTCTTCAGAAGTAATTTGCGGCAGGCAGTTTTGCCGGAGCCGCTCCACAGATCGTAAGGTGAGTACTCCACAAACTGCCAATAAGGAAACTGAAGCAGTGACAGGCCGGAATAGACACAGCAGTGCAATGCAAGGAGTAACATCAGTTGCACATCATGCCTGCAAGACTGTGATGGTGTATACGATGGTATCACGACGGACATATCCGAGTTACTACCTCGCTACCGAGGACATTGAGGGGATCACCGGAGATACGCAAGGCCCGAGAAAGAGGAAATGCTGCACCCAACACTCACCGAGTCTCAAGAGTAAAAAGTAAAGTAGAGCGATGACCGAGCACGCACCACCCGAGGGTGTATTGAGCAGGGTAGAGAGTGATAACTCAGGTGTACCCATCACCAGATCACCCTGCATGGCCTAGCATTCACACTGAGCTCAATGAGCTGCGCGGCACAGTGACAGTATCACAGGCATTTGCCGTTGTTCCTCTTGAACTCTATCTCTCTCCCTTCTCTCTCCCCAGGGCCCAGGCCCTTCTCCCTCGTGCCAGGATTGATCATCGTACACGCATTGCGTGTTCGTGCCCGCAGGCGAGGATCTTTTAGGCTCACGCGTGAAACGTTTAATCGCCTTTGATTCCTGGATGCGCATACCCTCACCGGAACCACTAGGACCCATTATCGGCGTCAGTAGTATTATCTGCCCAACTACAAGACCGATTAGCTTGTGATGACGGTGTGATGTTCGAGCATGCACCTACATCTGCTGAACACGCTGTGGCATTCACCAGCCTACATGACACCTTTCCTTTTTCTCTTGACAAAAGTGGCAGCCATTTTTAAACACCGCTTTGCGCTTGCAAACACTTCATTGGCATTAGAACGAACTTCCTAAGAGCTTCCTTCGGTCTTCGGCCGATGGCAGCTTCATAGTAGAGCGAGAGGTGTGATTCCATGGCTTTTAGACGGCGTGTGTATTGATCAAGTAGGCCATGCAGAGTGAATGCCTTACCTCTGCCTGGTGTGGCCGTTTATCCTTGGCACTGATGGATGGACATATCACGCAAAACAACACCGCCGTCAGAGAATGTGACGGTACACAAGAACCATTAGTGGGTCATTTAGAGAAATGCCCCTCTGGGCACCAAACTGCGACAGCGGGCTAGCAGCCATGCCGCACTGCTGCTCTGAGCTAGCTGCCTAGCGGCGTGCATAAGCAACACTCCAGCCAACAGCAGCAGCAGCGTTTCAAGGCAGGAACGCAGAACAGCATGATAGGTAACAGCACAACACGATACAATAATAGGCGCGCGCCTTCAGGCTGCGGGCTGACAAACTGTTGTGAGTGTGAGTGTGAGTGTGCGAGGACGAATGGCACTGCACTGGTACAGTGACCACACTGTGGCACAGAGCTGTTAAATTAATCCAGGCACTATTTCCTTCTCTTGTATTGCCATTGCAATGGGTTCCTGCTTCTGTTATGAGATCCCTAGCCCTGCTCTGAATGCAATGGGCAGGGGCGTCTTTCATCTGGAACATTGCACTGTGACCACCACAAACGCCTGACCAGTAAAGGTCGAAGGTTTTCCCAGTGAGAGGTGGTCTCTGATGGGCGGATACTGAGTTGCCTAAATCGAGAATCTCACCACACACTATAATGAGGTCGAAGGCTTCGCATAAATGGCTGTGTGTGACAATAGCTGATAAAAGTGGAGCCGTCTTATTATAGCCATGCATTGAAGATACACCGCCACCCAATGACTAGCAATGTAGCGTATTCTATGGTAACACACACCCTTTTCTTTATGATGTAGTTGCGTGATGTCCACCACTTTCCTAGTGCATGGCAATACAGTCAATCAAAATGGCGGAAACTATGAAACAGGGATACATCTTGTACATCATTACTAGACTGCCGGCCATGAATGTTTCTTTCTAAAACGAACTGTAAATAAAGGATGAAATTGGCGCCTAGTAACAGAGCATACTGACTTTGTACACGGTATGATACAAGGGCATGTACTAGTAATACACCCATCATGTACCGGTACACGGCCATGATTGGGGGACGAGATACTCCAGTACATGACTTGTACCATTGACTGTGAGGAGTCCACCAATCACGGGTATTTCAAAGTATACTGTTGCCTGGGGAGAGTACTGGCTGACTTCATGCTTCGCACTAACTCGCATCAAGACCATCACAAAGTCATACCAATACTTTACAGTACACCGTAGGTACACGCTTGATGGCTACATGATTGTATGATCAAGCCCCACTAGGCACTAAGAGATGTATACACTAGACCGGGAGTCGTACGGTACAGCCTACACTACACTAGTCTAGTCTACAGGAGATCTTGGCAAATTCTCACCCGGTCGTCGGCAGCATTCCACTGGCACTAATATCACTTGTCTTGTGTTCGGCAAGCAGCACCCCAGTCAGACCTTTCATGACATGAGGGAACTCTCACCATCGAACACTAAACCATTTCTAGTACTTCCAAGTATGGTGGACCCCGTGTCATCACACGCCCGCCCCATGGCAGTTAGGTTCCCGCCTAGCGATGAACCATGATGAACCGCGGTGGCACTGCACAAGATGGTGCGCATCTGTTCCTGTGTGAATTCCGTACATCCCCGAACTGATGCGCATAGGCTGGCGCACTGACACGGTGTGACGCAGTTATGGCAACGTCATGTACAGTACGCGAGCGAGTACAGAGTGTCGACCATCGAGTCGCGGTTGCCAAGGAGAGTGTATTCCAGCCCAAGCGCGTCAAGCCAGGCCGAAGAGTAGCGCGAGCTGCAAAGTTCCCGGATGCACAATGAGACTTCGTCACGTGCGTCGGGGAAGGGACGCGGCGGCTGCAGCGTAATGAGTTGAGACTTGCTCCAGTTGACGAAAATGCTGCAAAGAGTTTTACAGTAAGTCAAGCGTCTGAAAAGCAAACGCTTGTAGGCCAGGAGGTTGAGTGCAGCGGAGAGTACGTGTGTCGGTGTTGGTCTCTAGTCTTGCTGGATGTGGCGGCCAACTGAATAAGATGATGTTGTTCTCGTTGCCAGTGGGTCGTATCGCCTTTCATTAACACCGTCTGGTCGACTAACAGTCTAGTCGAAGCCTTGTTGTCACTGTCTAGAAAACTGCTCCGAGTTACTTAGAGTCGTCTATTCATCCGTAAACTAAACTACAGCCTGGCCTGGAGTGGTGGCTGGAAAGACTGCGGGAAATGTCCAGTCGGTCACCGTCGCCACGACAGATGTTGGCCCTTCCACACCACCACCATCACCACCAGCAAGTCCAACAGCAGTGCCACGTTCAGCATCAGCCACCGCCGCAGCAGCAGCAGCAACAGCAGCAGCTGCACATCCTTCCACCTTCACACTACAGATATCAAAAGGTGGGAGTTTGGAACAGATGCTTGTGGTTTTTTCAACATATTATGATAATCCACTGTGCTGTCATTTGGGAGGGTCTGAAATGGTACAGCTCTCTCCCTGGTCTGCACCTCTGGGCGGTGGCCACAGGGCATCTCCGCAGCAAACGAAATTGCTTGTTTGCCCAGCTCCGCGTGATTCCATCAATCTCTGGATAGTGACACCTAGCAAAGCATAGAGAATTGCCTCCTGGCGAGGAAGCTCTTTTCTGCACTGCGCCTAATAGTATGCACACCATACCTCTTACCAACCACTGCTCCAGTGAGGGCTCCCAGGCATTTTCAACATCACTTGCTTGTACCTCACTTGGCCATCGGGGATTACGGGATGGAACACACCTGGACAACCTGGAGCTCATTCTGTGCAGTAGAAACATGCTAGCTGAAGTGAAGGATGGGAAAGGAAGAGTGTTGTTTTCTACACCATCTTCCAACGAGAAAAGCGAGAATGAGGGAATGAGGGATGCGGCGGAGTATTTGGCCATCATCTGTCTGAGCTAAAACAGTTGTTTCCTGGCATTGAAATACTATCTGAATGTGCTATGTTGTCAGTGCGCATGGTTTGGGAATAGTATTTAGAAAGTTTGCGGAAATCCAGGTCATGTTTGCCTTCTTCCTTCCCGTCTGTTGCCTAAAAGAATGCATCTAACATTAGTGCGTGGGCGGAGGATGTTTGAAATCCAAGCTTAGAATGAGGGAAATGTCTGCTTTCCTGCAGCAGCTGTTTCCAATCATTGGTCAGCATGACACACAGTGGTCAGTGCCTGGCTTACGCCAGCAGAAGAAACTAGGTTTAAAAAAAAGTTTCACCACTGTTTAGATAGTGGATATGGAGACCTGTGCGCCAGCTACAGTTTCATAGGTCTCCATATCCACAGTCATGCACATGCGCATCTGGCGCAGGCTGTCTGGCAGATGTTACCAGTAAAATACCTTTGGCCAGCATAGGCCTAGGCTGTAAGCACTGAGCAGATTGTGATCAGAAGACCAGTACAGAACCATGTAGCATTCTCACCCGCAAGCCCTGTAGCATTCTCCATATTTGAGCCGCAAGTATGGGTCAGTTGAGACTCGGACTGTGGGTAAAGGATGCAGTTTCAGCAGAGGAGGCTGGTTGTTCCCCCAGGTTGAATCCACATGGCCTTGCCTCATTGCATGCGAGTGAGTTGGGAGCCCGAGCCGTGTGTTCTGCACATGTTGCGAGCAGTTTGTCTTTCGCTGGGCACAGCTGCTTAAAACCTGGTCACTAACCTTTACCCGCTCAGCTAGTAGGATCTGAGAAGCTGCAGTTGATCGGTCTACAGATCCGCGTGACCCAGCTGGGACTTACACAGCAGCATGCACTGAGGATTAGCTATTGTCACGCTTTCCTATACTTTCAGGCTGCATGGGAAGCCTGCACTACCTCCACGGGACCCTCCAGGGTCCAACCGTCCAGGCAGGGAGGGCTGAGTGGGGAAAACTGAAAAGAAACTTACAGTGTTTTGCTAGAAACATTGTTTGGTTGAGAGAGGATGGTAATTCTGGCCAAAATGACTACACCAATAAATAGCCAAGCACCACTGGGTCTAAGTTGTAGTCTAGCCGATCATCAGAAAAGAAACTTTGAAAGGAATTGGCTTGCAAAGAAAAAGAGGAGAAAGAAACACCGAGATTGAGGCTTGGAGCAAGACCATACATTGCGGCCTGTCGGGGTCAGTGTACTTGTAGATTCCGGTATTGCCAATGTCTCTGGAACAATTGCTTTCTGCTATGCAACGACGAGGAGAGGCAGACTATTGGATTGGCAGTGTAAGCAAGCCCATGTCGATACTGTTCCTTGAAAAGATGGTATGGCTCGGAAGAGAAATTTCAGAAATTGCTGCATGTGTGTATTTGAATATGCCTTGTATGATCACGTTCCTAAAGAAGAAAGCAGTGCTTTAGAGATTTTACTGTTCTATTTACGTATACATGTCAGCTGGTGTACTGTACCTAGATCTTAGGATGGGCAAGAGAATTAGCCGATTGGGATGGTGAAATGACTATGTGAAGGATTAGTTACATTATGCTAAGCACGGATTGCTTTGGAGCGGGTCTGGTGTGCACATGTTGTGTAGGAACATTCTTTCGATGTGTTGTAAGCAGATGCCAGTTTGTGTTCCTTGTTCTATGATAGCATTGTACATGTAGGTAGCTTGCTAACACAGATACCAGTTGCTGTACCTCAATTAGGCATGCATGTGTACATCAACTAATTACTTGCTGTTTCGTACTGTAAGGATTGTCCATGTGTAGGAATGTTGGACTTGGCGAGCATAGTTTGTTTCCTCATTCTTATCCACATGCCTCCTGATGCGATAGTTAGCAAAGTCTTTGAATCATTTGTTCTCTCATGGGTAAAAGGCATGGCAATGTGATTACTGAGAAAGTTCACAATGATAATGACTTGAGCCTTCCTGCTGTGTGTCTGGGGTTGGTAAGAATTTCCATCGTAGCATGCAGTATTCTACAGGACAGATTGCAAACAGCAGAAGATTCCACGGCTAATATTTGGACGTTTGCCAGTTTTGGGACGGCAAACTTTGCATATCCTTGGAGAAACAAATTCCTCGTGCATCCTTGTTGACATTATCCCAACCATGCAGTGCCTTCTAATGCCATGGCCTTTGTTTCCACTCAGTTCGAGTGGGCTATAGAACATACACATATACATGTACATGGAAGTTTACTATCAGAATCAGATAGTACAGGGTCATGTATGATGGTGTAGGGTTGGTCTTCCAGGGTGTGATGTGTAGGTATCATGTAGATCTGGATAAGGGCTGTCCTGCTTAGAGGCAACACAGCCTTGCAGTGTAGGGTGGCTCCATTTGAATGCTAGTGACATGGAGCTGGATCACTGGGCTGACAGGGGGAGGTGGATGTAAGGTAGTTTGTTAGTGTGATGGGAGCCTCTAGTCCTGACACTACACAGGACTGACTGAAGCAGGGAAGGACGTCCCAGTCTCAGTGACTTCACCATGCCAAGTCACCATGCGTCCTTGGGCCGTGTAGCATATTGCCCAGCAGCCTGTACACCCCCTGGAGCCTATACCCTGTAATGTTCACATCCTAATGAAAATGACACGCTACTCTTTGCACTCAATCAGGATGGACAGGCCCAGCCACCCCATGCTGTGATTTTCACTCTCGCAGAAAACAATGCTGGCAAGGTGTTCATGTACTCAATCTACATGCACTACGGACTAGGAGCCAGGGAGAGGGAGGGCTAGGGAGGGGGTACCCTCCACAGCCTCTCAGTCTGATATGGGAATGCTCCTTGGGACATGTGTATGTGTACCGGTGCTGACAGTCAGTGACACCAGCCCAGCCGGCCTGGAGGAACAAGGAGGTCTTCCACAGGACACTAGAACTGTACTGTCACTCAGTATACCTTATTGCCAATTCTAGTGATCATTGATGCAGGTATGCAAGCCCTTATTCAGAGAGTGCTTTGGTGGAAGGGCGTTTGTGGCAGTGCACACTTTGAGGTTTCAGCATTGCTATGCTGCTGATCCCAATGCGACATGTTATGCCTTGTCTATACCATGGACCCTGGTGACAGTATGTACATGTATGTGTGTATGTATGTATGTATGTATGTATGTATGTATGTATGTATGTATGTATGTATGTATGTATGTATGTATGTATGTATGTATGTATGTATGTATGTATGTATGTATGTATACTATGGACCCTGGTGATAGCAGTACATGGTTATGCTGTACATTGAGCTGTCAGAGTGAAATCAATACTCTGTCTCTGAGGAGGCTATTTCCTATACGGACAGAGCTCTAACTAAGTAGTGAACTGCTAATCAGCCATTCTGAATCCTGCACCTGTTTTTCAGCAGGACCCCTGGGGGCAGCATATCTGTAGGGAGGGTCAGAGGGAGAAGCAGCACTTTCTTGGACGGGCAGTCCCAACATCCACACTATCAGTATACTATAGTAGTACAGTCTGTAATAGTAATAGTAATAGTAGTACAGGTTCTGACGTAAACAGGTCCCAAGAAGTGCTGGACACCTAGCCAGTTGCCGAGCAGCCTCATGATGTCAACTTCACGTGGACTGAGTGGATGTGCTATTTCAGTACATGTACATGCACTAGGCATGGCTGTCATTCCGAGGAGCATGTGACATACACTGGTAGAGTACTCTACTCCAGTGAGTATGGCCTGCTGCAGCTCCACTTTCCTGTAACTAAAATTAATTAGCCCAGAGTCTGGACATGTGCCCTTTGGAGGGTAATGTCGTTGCAAGATGGTGTTGTTCTTTTGTAAAGCCCATTGTCCAGTGATTATAGGTTCTTTGCAGCATGTTGCTCTGTCGAGTGGCACTTTCCTGGCCATGCCTCTAGTTATTATACAGTGTTCCAGTGGTGATTAGGCAAAGCCAAAAGCCCACAGGTCATGTAGTGTGTACGCAGCTTGTTACTCACAGCTCAATTGCTTTGAGGTGATTTTGGACTGGGGCATTCCTGGACAGGACTGAGTCACTAGTCAGGTATACTCATAACTGTCTCCAATTCAGGGTCAGTCGGCTGTGCAGTTGAACTTGAAGCAAGAGTACATTATGTACTTATGATAAGTTATGGATGTAGTGACTGGTATTGGCCCAGCAGTAGGCAGTGTGTTTGTACACAAACAACTTGAAGGTGTCCGTGCTGCATGCTGTACCCCGTGATGCAGTGGCTGTTGCCATCCTAGTAGGAGATCTAGAAGAAAATTACTATAAATACTAGGAATAATTCCTGGTGTCCTGGAGGGGGGGGGGGGAGGGGGGTCACAGTGGCATCCACGTCCATTCATGATCACTCACTGAGCCAGCGGTCAATGTCATGTGAGTGGTCCAGCCTAGTACAAGTATGCAGAGTGGCAGGGACTGTGACTGGGAGTACTGGGCTACCTGGTCAGGTAGACAGTGTCTGTACATGTAGTGCAGTATAGCTGATCTGCTGAGGAGGCTGTGCATGCATCATTGTATCTACCAGTTAGCTTAATAGGTTCAGTGAAAAAGAATGACTGGACAACATGGCGGCCAAGCCAGGTTATCTGGTTAGGAAACTGAATGGCTAAGCCTGCTGTGTGACTTGGATTCTGCTGAGTGGCTATCTCTTGACATTGGTCAGTGTTTGCAAGAGAGGGTGCTTGTCTTCTTGCCTTGGGTGGCACTCTTGGGACGTTTCTGCTTGAGAATATTGCCTGAGGTGAACTTCATCAGCCACTAGTGCTCAGGAAATCATTTCCTGGCCAATTGAAGCAGCAAGGGGGAGGCCAGTTTCAGCAGGTGATAAATATTTTAATGCGAAATGCCGCAGGACCAGACTAACCCCAAGTCAACATCATGTGACTTCAGCTCCACCACACCGCACCACACTCAGGAATCAAATTCCCTGCCTGAGGTACAGTGAAGCCCCACACCCTCCCAGGCCTGCACCCTGCAGCACATAGACGGTCTACCGTGTGCTGCATGTACATGTGCGTAGAGGAGATCCTGGCCAATGTACTGCCTGCAGGGAAATGCTGGGTACTGCCACTGGCCAATCTCCATTGAAAACATGAAAAGGGTCGTGTTAGCTCCAAGACTGGCCCAGTCCTGACAACACTCTTTCTGCTGAATGCTGACTTCAATGTGCTTCTGTCAGACAGGGTTGAATAGGAAGTGCTGCACAAAAGAACTGCTTCTGACAATACCCACACAAAGAGTTCCTAAGTTGCTATCTATATAATTATCAGGAACTTGACGCGGCCAGGATTTCCTGTAGACAAAAGTGGCCGAATTAGCGAAAATAAATGAGTTCAGTTTTTCACGTTTCCAGCTGCTTATAACCTGAATTACATGTTCTTGGTACCCATAGCTCTTTCATAGCATGATGGAGACTAGAGTAGGAATGCCTGTGGCAGTTACCAATAGTGCTACAGTGTTTCATGCTGCACCTGTGTGCATGCTTTCCGTGCAGATGACACCAACCGAGGCGGATGCAGCAGCTCCGGGAGGCTACACATTTTACCCAGCCCGAATGCCGGAGCCGGCTGCTGCGGCAGTTGCCTACGGAAATCACATTGCAACTCAACCGTGCACCTTGACTCCGGCGCCTATTGTCGTGGAGCCCGCAGCATCGATGCCAATTTTGGCACAGACCCAGCCAGCAGGCAGTGCAATGCCTCATCGCCATGCCAAGCACAGCACGGAGCACAGATACGCGCCGTATCATGCCGTGTCTCGCGAGGCAGCCATACAGCATGGGTCTGCAGCCCCGCCGTTGATTCCGGCCATGACGAACAGCAGTGCACACGCTAACCACACGTCCGCCTACGAGCAAACACCCAACATGGGCAGTGCGGGCGGCATGCAGGCTACCCCAACCTCTCCACAGCAGCTGCAGACCAGCATGGATCCGTCACGACACAGCCACTACAGTCACGACGACCGCTCCATGAAGCAATCCGGACACGCCGAATACTCGCACTATCCCAACGGACCGTACAAAGTGAGGAGACCGAGCGAGATGGCACAGACACCTGATGGGATGGGTCACCGTAGCCCTCTCTACGGTGAAATGGGAGCGGGCACACAGACCGCTCACGGCGACCGCGGCTCCATCTTCATCACGCCACCGCCACCATCCTCCGGTGTCGCCATCATGCACTCTCATCACATGCCCGCGAGGGCTGCTCACTATGACGACGGCAAGGCACAGTCCGTAGCAACCACGCCGCACCAGTACGGCGTGGTGCCCCAACAGATGGCCGGCTACGATGCCGGAGCGGAACACGGTGATCAGGCTACGGTAGCGTCACCGACTGCGGCACAGCTTCACGCCGATAACGGACTATGGCAACCGACCGCATCGCTTGACATGATCGGAAGACAACAGCACGCACATGTACGTTTGATGGGAAGCAATGCTTCTCTTCCACATGCACATGCAAGGGCTAGTAGGCAGCATATTCTGTTGAATAGGTGATAGGCAAGAAAGTAGAAATTGTTCATTTAGGGAGCATCATGACAGTCACGACCGTGCTTGTAGCTAAGTAGTTATTATGATGTTCTTGCTCTAACTACTTTGGACCAAGTAGGTTTACAGTACAACCTTCCTTCAAGAAAACACCTTGTGTACAAACTCAGTCAACACTCAGTCCAACTCAGTCCAACTCAGTCCAACTCAGTCCAACTCAGTCCAACTCAGTCCAACTTAGTCCAACTCAGTCCAACTCAGTCCAACTCAGTCCAACTTAGTCCAACTCAGTCCAACTCAGTCCAACTTAGTCCAACTCAGTCAACACTTTCTTTGGTGTGTCACAGTCCTAGGTTCTACAGTGTCGACCTCTAGAATACTCAGCATCATGGCCGAGATTAGCCAGTGTACACTGAATGGTGTTTTAGAAATATTTCTGCTTCACCCTCTCCTCTTTAGATATCTCAGGGGGAATATGGTGGTCGGCCTCAGCCAAAGAATTCCTCCGGTGACACACTGCCAAGTCCTGAGACCAGCTCACCCGGCGGAGAGGATTGCGAAGGTAGGCACTCACTTACAAGTAGCTTAAAACTCAAAGACAGCCGGCATGTAAACATGCCTGCCTGCAGCGGTGCAGATTACCGGGAGGGCGACATGCATTTAGTACATTGTTGTTTGCTCAGGTGAAGTAGGATTGTTGCTATAGCTAGTCCTCCCATGAGTAATGAGGTATTTCACAACCATACTCGACTTGCCGTAGACAATCTTCTTGCCGTGGTATATTCGCACTTCATGCCCTCATGAATCATGAATGTCTGCACAAAACGGTAGATCGTTTTCTACCGATAGATTATTGCCACATTATACGAAATGTATATCAGGGATTACTTCTGAGAGGTGATTGTATTTTTGCAAATATTCTTTTTACAAACAATGTTGCCTCCAGGTGCATCCTCATCACACAAGTATCTTCCCCTCAGCAGGCACATCGGCCAGAAGCTGAAGCCCAGCGACGAGTTCACCACCGTTCCAGGTCGCCTGTCTCTCCTCGGCTCTGCCAGCAAATACATCGTGACAATTGGAGAGATACAGCGGCGACTGTCGCCTCCAGAGTGTCTGAATGCATCGCTTCTTGGTGGTGTTCTTCGCAAGTAAGTGACAATGGAAATGTGCGCATTTCTTGTTTGGGACCTTTTTGCTTTTTTCTCTGTTATGGGTCACACATAGCCCTATAGACAAGGGGAGCAAAGACGAATGATAACCCAAGATGAAGCAATACGCGACAAGGACAGAAGAACAAGACTAACAGTGACACAGGGAGTAGGGGCAGCGAGGTGCTACAATGCTGATGAGGTTTTCCCAACTCGCACGACCATTGGTCTCGTGTGCCCATAGCCTAACTGAAACGCATCAAAGATGGATGGGACAAAGGAGAATGCTAAAAGCAAGGGCTGGACTTACAAAAATCAGCTTTCTCATCAAGTATCAGCTGAACTTGAGTTGAATGTCTGTGGGGAAATCATTAGCTTCATTTGTTGTCAGCGGGGAATTTTGATCTAATTGGCGCTCTGTCATACTGTACGCCGTTTTTGTCACTCGCAGAGCCAAGGCTCGTAACGGAGGTACTGACCTCCGCCGAGCACTGGAGGAGATTGGTCTTCATCTTCCACCAGGCAGACGGAAAGCAGCAGGAACTTCAATGTTGACGTCTCTGGTCGAAGGTTAGTTCTTTCCCTTAAAATTTCCCCTCTTTTTCAAGACATATCCTTTCACCAAACCTTAGTGATGAGAGTATGAAAAGGAGGAGATGCCGTAAGCGCCGTGTATGATGCTCAACTCTTACCATCCTTTCCGTTTCCTTTTTCTCCTTCTCTCTCTTCATCCAGAGGAAGCTCGCTCTCTAGCATCGCAGTTCAATGGAATCTGTCGTAAAATGTTCCCGACGGCCGAATTGGCCACTACTGTATGTCGACAGCAATCAGCAATGATGGGTTCGCACGGCGGACAGCAGCAGGTTGATGATCGCCAGCAGGCAATCAAAAATGCAATGTACGTTCGTTATTCAACCAGTCTGATGGATTCCGCAGAACTGTGTTGATAGGGGTGCATGGCCTGCATGCTTGCTAGTGATCTGTGTTGATAGGGGTGCATGGCCGGCATGGCCTGCATGCTTGCTAGTGATCTCGAATGTGAAGAGAACTTTTAATGCACCAAGATCAAGAGGACAAGCGGAATTAACATGTGGTCACTTTATTCTACAGTGTCAATCAATGGATAGTGCAAAAGAAGAAGGAGATCGTAGTGAGAAAGGACAAGGGAACATGATTTGAACATGTTGGCATACAACACTCTTCATGAATGATGCATTTAATCTGTATTATCAATTTTCCAACAAGAAGAGGATGGAAAAACTTTCCTTCTGCTCCTGGGTCAGCTATATGTGATAACACTATACCAGAGTGTTGATTCCTGGGTTGTGCATGCCTTTTGTGATTGAACAGACTGTGTGATTACACACTGTACTGGGATGTTATCAGGCTGTTTTACCACTATGTTTGTTTCGTATTCGTGTGCCCCACCATCCACTGGCGTGCAGGCAATTGACGAGCGAGTTGAGTGTACAGCTGCAGTCCTACCTGGACCAGGAGGAAGCCGACCGGGACAACGATAATGTCAACTTTCCTGGCCTGCGCCAATTCAGCCTGATCACGCACAGCTTCGGCGTTCTGGTGGTGCAGGGCGTGCTGCAGGTCTTCCAAGGCTACCTGAACAATCTGATGAAGACTACTGGCGGCATGGTCATCCGCGATCACGCCTTGCAGCACCAGCCGCCGGTCAACTCAATGCAACACACGCCCGCAGACAGCAGCGAGAGCATACCGCACAGCATGCATAAACAACACAGATAGTGACCGGCAACAAGGCACAGCACCAGTGCTGGCGTCGACTCCCCAGTTGATCAAGTACATATATGTTGCCGCATGCTATTCCTGTTGAATTGAACGGCCGAGATATCATGTAAAGTAGGCTGTAAAAAATATGGGAGCGAAAACATGAAAAGATCGAATTGATATCCTTACTAAAAGATGATATCATTGTGCTGCCTCGTCTGTGTATTCAGTTCTGTATGACCTATGCTGGCTGGAATTTCTTGATCAAGTTGCTACTAATGCTATCTAAACTGAACAAGACATCATTTCACTGCAGCCCCGTTCCCTTCCTAGACAGACGCCCTAAATCAGAGCAAACCCTTTCCCACCTTGGTCCTTTCCCGGCAGCCCTGTTTCAAGTTTCATTTTCATTTGATATGCCCTGTGGCGACCGATACACACACAGATTGAAATTCTACCAATGACTGCCTTACCTGAATCCTATATTGTGGCTGCATGCCGCCCGGCCCGACCGACACACAGTATCAGTACAGCGTAATTTATTTCTCTATTGTGAATGATCTGATGGCAATCATGAGCCGCGGGCAATGGATGGTTTGTAGAGTGCTGCGGTGCTCCTTGAATGTGAATGGTTCGGGGGGGGGGGGGGGGAGGTGCAGATTCAGGCGCGTCCTACTTCTGAAAAGAAAACCACTGGCAGCTAGCTGTTCTTTTTACTTTTTTGCCCTTGTAAAGTCTCATCAGTGGAGCTCAGAGTCCGAGTGATTATGGTGACTGGCTGAACGCATGATTGTATGCAGTGAAGTGAAGTCTAGGGAATAACAAGCGGCATTTCCAAACCAGTCCAGGGCCAGGGGCGTAGCTGTTCCCCCTTTATTTAGGTGGGGGGGGGGGGGAGGTGCACGGCCGCACACAAAGTATGTGTAGGATTGCTTGTGCATGTCATAACGTGCATGCTGACCCTAGGCAACATTTTTAGGGTGTGTGTGTGTGGGGGGGGGGGGGGGGGGCACCCGTGCCCTATGCGAGCTACGCGCCTGCAGCCGAAAGCATCGATATGTGCAATGGACTAGGGAGACAAACAATGATTTCCTTGTGTTATAGTGCCGGGGTGCCTTGTATCCATGCATTGAGTGACGCCTGCAGCACCCCTACCAGTACGACGTAGTCATCATCTACATGACATGTACAAAGGAGTCAATTGCCGGGCGGGGGGGGGGGGGGGGGGATTGTTAAATACATTGTATATAACACCCCCCCCCCCCCCCCCCACACACACACACACACTCACACATCTTACAACCCTCCAGCCTTATGCAGATTGCTATGTTGAAAAGAGCCATGAGTCCCGGGCCATGGGCATGACCCATTGAGTCTGACTCGGTGTACTCAGTAGGCCCGGTCCCATCCAGAGTGAAGCCGGTGCATTGCATTGGCATGCTGAGCGTGAATGCACGCGGTCAGCTAAGCCTAAACTAAAGTCGAGCCGATCAGTCCAGCAGGCCAAAACAAAAGGACAGGAAACGACCTACCTTACCTAACTAAGTTACTAAGACTGTACATGTACTTGGCTAGTGACCATGGTGACTACCTATGGTATGCAGTCAGAGATCGATAGCCTAGAAGACCACTTCCTCTTACCCGGGGCAACTAGGCCTATACTATACCTGGCTAGTAGTAATACTAGTATGAGCTCTGTGGCAAGAACTGTACGGACGTTATCATGGTTATGGTGCAGGCGCGTCGGAACGACTTTGGAGGTGGGGCGGCCATGGAAGGGGGGTCCGGGAAAAAATTTCAAAAATTAAAGCCAATTGCAAGCCGATTTCCGGGCATTTGGTGCCATTTCAGTGTACGGTAACTACAATGGAAGACTTTTTGATTCTGCAAAAAACCAAGAAGATGCTACGATCGGGGACAAACATTACCCTCCCCCGGGAAAAAATTCAAAAATTGAAGCCAATTGCAAGCATTCCCAAGCATTTGGTGCCATTTCAGTGTACATGGACTTTTGATTCTGCAACAAACCACGATCGGGGACAAGGATTTGCCACGTTTGCGCTGAGATCTTCGCGCTTTGTTGCAGTACAGTGTGCTAAAAAAAAAAAAAAAAAAAAAAACGGCCGAGAAAGTGGGGCGGCCATGGCCGCCCCGGCCGGTGCGGTTCCGACGCCCTTGTGGTGTTCCATCATCACTTGGATTGTTTTGAATCAGGTCCATCAGTGGACCATCACACAGGGCCAGGCACGGTTCACCATTCCGGCATAATGATGGACCTTCTACCCACTGTACTTACAATGCTCACTTCAGGATACAGCCAGCACTCTCCCTACTGACCTGTACTGTAGCTAGCTGGCCGTGGCTTCACGTAACTCGTTCAACATTCAACGGCAAAAGGCACAAGCTAGGAACTTTTGCCCAGGCCCCTCCACTATCTGTAACATCCGGTGTGCGCCGGTGTACGCCAATAATATACCGTGTTCAGACTCAGTGGGAAACTGGAAATTCCACTGAGTATCGACCTACATTTGTACGTGGCGACATAGCGGCAATACAAAATACCGTGAATACATGATTGTAACAAAATACAATAGGATACAGGGAGATTACAGACTCAGTGTCAGTGCAGGCAGGGGCACTGAGTGATGAAGCAGTGCATACAATCAGTTGTAGCGGTACCGGGACCATGGACAGCATACAGATCGGGACTGGATCATTGTAGCCTCGGCGCAGGTAAGAACACTGAGTGACGGTTAGATCTTGTGCACGACTGTGCATGTACGTCATGTAGATCTACAATGGCGATCGCGGCGGTTTGTTCACCACCTGCAAGTGCTAAACTCATAATCATATGCAAGCCTTGCTTGATAACTTTAACTAACATGCTTATTTAGACAGGAGGATAACAGCGGGTAAGAATGCGAACGACACACCAGTCTACTTGTGTGTGAACTGTGACTACAACCATAAGCCCTTTGAAAGTTGAAACAGGAATGCACTTGGATGTACATGATTGTACAGTGTACATGTAGTTCCTTGGTCCTTTTTTCTTCTATTATTAGTTGAAACAACCCTGCATGTTAAACGGCTGAGAGAATATAGAGAACAGAAGAATCACCCGAGACGAACGAACTACGTAGCGAAGATCGCTGGGGCAAATCGAAGACTTTCGGACGCCCCTCCCCCCCCCCCTTTAGAATACAGAGGGCCCGAACCGGGCTTGTCCCACTGGAATATGCTCCCGGTCCCCTACTTAGGCCCTAGTCGATTATAGTCTGGCAAAGCGCAGCCCGGTCCAACCTCGCGAAGGTTGACCGCATCCAGCAACGGTGTCACACGCAGTGCGCAGCATTGGAGCTGGGACCATGCTCCCAAGTTATCAGTGCGTCGGCAAGTCTCGGGACTGTGCTACCTGTTCAAACTGCACTACATTTCCGGTCCGGCCCAGCTGACCCGACATGCTGCCACCTGCTACCCCTGAGCCCGCCCACCCCAGAATCCGCCACCAACATCAAGTGAAACACTCCCAATCAATGAATGCCTTCCAGTTGTCAAACCCCTCCCCGCAACGAGTCCTGACATCCTACACCGATCCTTCCCGTTCGGCCTACTCACAACATGGACCGACATGTGGCCAAGCTTTGTGGATCGTTTACTGTAGACGGCAATCCCCTGCTATGGCTGACATCTTACCTACAACTGGGCGAACGCAGTACGTCACGGTACATGGGACGTCCTCAGCCGACACAACAGTACTATCCGGAGTTCCCCAGGGTTCCATCCTCGGCCCCCTTCTTTTTATCTTATACGTCAATGATCTGCCCGCAGCTGCCCCGGGCACATCACTATTCGCAGACGACACAACGCTCCTACGGGCATCTCCTAACATCACTGGCCTGATGAGTAACCTAGCTAACGGGATTCAAAGAGTAATTTCCTGGATGTCGTCTTGGCGGTTATCGCCCAATCTGTCTAAAACTAAAATCATGCTCTTTCCTTCTCAGCCCGATGTTCCGCCCCTCCTCCATCCCACTTTCCCCCAGCCTATAGACATAGTCTCCAGCCATAAGCATCTTGGCATTTTCATTGACTCTAATCTTTCATGGGAACCCCACATCGATTACATATGTAAACGATCAAGTTCATCTTTAGGAATCCTCTCTTCTCACTGTTACCATCTCCCAATCTCTTGTAAACTCCTCTTTTACTCAGCTTACATACGCCCCATTTTTGATTATGCAGATACTGCTTGGGCTGGAATTTCCACAACCCGTGCTGAAAAGCTCGAAATTCAGCACAAAAAAGTTCTAAAAATCCTCCTCCGGAAACCCCGCATGCTCCCATCTTCCACCCTTTATGCCCTTGCTCACACTACCCCTTTGTCTAAGAGACGTAATTCACATCTTGTCACCCTTATCCATTCTCTCAAACTCAATCTGTGTCCACCTCACCTCCACTGTTTCAACTGGTTTTCTTCCCGTAGCACGAGAAACTCCCTTTCCCTTCCGAAACCCAAGTCCTCCTTTCTACTTCACTCTCCCCTTTTCACTGCGTACTCTGCGTGGCTGGCACTTCCCCAAGAAGCTAAGGACCTTTCTTCCCTCCGCCTTTTTAAGAGCCTTGTCGCGCCTTGACTTTGATTTTGTGTTTCTCATTTTGTTGCAATCACTACTTATCCATGCCGGTTCCTTTTTTCTTCTCCTCCCCTTCTCCCTTCCTTGCCGTGGTTGGCTAACACCCTCTCTCTTTGTATTGGCCGGTGTTCTCACTGTGCTATGAGATGCTGCAATAAATAAATAAATAAATGATCTACCCTCTGCTATCCTGAACGCCCCCCCCCCCCCCCCCCATCCAAGGCAGCGTTGCAACGCTTCAACTTCAAGGTAGCAGCAAGAGTCAATCATAGCCCCCAGGACGTTATGAACTCTTGTTTGTAATTGTAGTCTTGGTAGCAGTGTACAAGTACCTCCTCGAGCAAACTTGTGGGACTACTGTCGACGTGTACACCGCAGACTAGCATACTACTAGTGATGGCCTAACTCTTTCAGGCTTCTTTCTTTCTTTTTACCCTCCCCCCCCCCCCTGGTGCGCGTAGTGTGCAAGGATACCGAGATCGAGACCTCATTTTCTCGAGTAGATCTACTACTAGTGCAGTCGGCGGAATAGCGCGAGCTCCGGTGTGGGGAGCAAACCCTTTTCTTACTAGTACAGCTTTATAATTATTTATCGAGCCACATTTCCTTTTTTTATTCTAAAACCTATCACTATCAGTGGTCGGAGGAGTCACAACGCCCCACCTACACCATGTACACAGCTGCGCTACAATGTAGTGGATACATGTAGTAGTCAGCGCCAGGGAGTAGTAAAATACGATGTATTTTACTACTCCCTGGTCAGCGCCGACTCAATCAGGGAGCCCAGGCTACAGGCTACACATACCGGTATGTGTAGCTACACTATGATTGTATGAACCATGCGGCGCACTCATCCACATTTGCAGCTGCATATTCAGTCAAATTTGACTTGCAAAGTTTGGACTCTTGGTAGCAGCAAGCGTAAGCTCAGGGCAAAGGCGGGCTCACGCCCCTACATGGCTACTTCCCCTTGCAGACTGTCCAACAGCAGGACAGTCCTGCTTTGGACCAAAACATTCGTATACATTTACATGGGACACGATTGCCTTTGTATACACTGTACTGTGTGTGTCCTGCTTTGGAATGGTGGCAAGGTTGGACAGACTGCCCTTGTCTAACCCGAGCCCCAAGACGAAAACGATCGTAGCCGACTGGCCGAAATTACAAGTGAAAAAGAAAAAGAAAAAAGCTCAGTGAGGCCTGTGAGGGTAGAGTATACTCTTGGAAGCAGTCATACACGACAGCCGCACCAAATCACCGACAACGACTTACTTTTCAATGCTGACCTACTAGCTCAGTGCTGCAAGGTATTTTGATAGGGTAGAATCCTGGTGCATTGCATAATGCAACACGCACTCGCTACAATTGTTTACTACAACTTGTCACGAGTACATCCATAAACCATGCATAAAGATTAAAGAAGTACTCGGTTTGCTGGAGTACAGCAGCGCAATGTGACCAAGTAACGAAGAGTAAAAGACAATAAATGAGAGTCCTCCGGCTCGGTAGAGTGCTCAATATTCATTCGAATAGAGCTATCTTACACACGACACAGAGCACCACACATCATTCGTTGTTACTAATAGTTTCATGCCCATAGGCAATCATCAGACGACTAATAACGAATGAAAAGCCAAGATCCGATTATATACAGTAGTATTACAGAGGCAGCGATATGTGTATGCACGAGTGAGGAGTTTCACACATGAATTCAGCGGACTATGAAATCGAGAGGTATTTCTGTACGAAGAGTAAAAGATAAAGGCAGCACACACACACACACACACACACACACACACACACACACGGACATGTGACACACCCATACACACGGACATGTGACACACAAACGGCACACACGCACACAATGCTGTTACGGCTCTAGTAATCAGTAATCGGTACAAACATAAACAATATGCGAACAGAGCATAGCTTGAAAGTGGCAATGAATACTGGTGAAGTCGATCATGAATAGAAGAAGAGCAAGGCATTGTCCCGGATTCCATATCTATGACATCATCATCAAGCATGGTGCTGCTTGTATAGCGCTTCAATGCGGTCCAGAACGGTAGAAACCTCGCCATTACAGTCACGGACTACACCCTGAAGCCAGCCACCATCATCACTGAAGCCAAACTCCAGCAGCCGATCCATACATTCCTGGTACCTGTGTTCATCAGAATCGGCAGCAGAGCTGTATTGCCGGGCATCTGAGTCTTGGCGCTTAGCTGATGCTAATCCTGCTGGGTCAGCATCCACACCCTCTCCCTTTCCTGCTGGATCAGTGTCCACACCCTCTCCCTTTGCTTGCTGGCACCACGGATCCGGTTTACCTCCATCTCCCTGCTGCTGCCGTTGTTCCTGTTGTTGAGGAGGCATCATCCGTTGTAGAAAGTCTGAGGCAAAGGATGCGAGCTGTTCTGGGCCGAAGCCAAAGACTTGGTCAGCAGGAGCTGAGGTAGAAGTAGCACCACCACATGAACTAAATGAGGGTCCTTGTGGTGCCCGTGGCCAGCCGCCACACGGATTACCTCGGCAACCAAACGACCTATCACATTGCGGCTTTGCTGCTCGGGCGGCTCCTTTGCCACAATGGCCTCTGGCACCGCGAGACCTCCATCGTCCGGCACCTGGAAAGCCTCCCCAGCCACCGAGACCAAATGAGAACGATGGCATTGGTTCACGCATGCGCACAAACAGGTGCTCATCGTGCAATCCGAGATGCTCGCACTGTGCACAAAGGTCGTAGTCATCGCAAGTCATGCACTTGAAACGGGAACCCTTCACCTGGCCTGAGCAGCCATCACAGATTATGTTGGGATGCACTTGGTCTTGCGCTGGGCCGGCGGCAGGACGTGCACAGCGGGTGCGAGGCTGGGCACTGCTGTTGCCACTCACTGTTTCAGTCAAGGATATGTAGAGCCGGAGAACATCACCAACACCTGATGAGAGTGCCTCCATCAAGTCCTCGTCAGTCTTGATGTCCACATAGTCACCATCCTCGTCACGCCACCTGAGGGAGAGATTATCAGCTCGCTTCAACTGAAACACACTTGCCACTTTATGATGTAAGTACGTCAGACTACTCGTTGCGCCGTCATCCACCGAGAAGCGACGAATCTCAGCAGAGCTTCCCAGTCGAGAATCCGATGGTGGCCATGCCGAGAAGAAAAATGCTTTCACAGACAAAGCCATTTTAGCGGAGATCTATGGAGGCTGGAATGTCCTGGTCTTCACTTCGTCGGGTTTTATAAGATGCATATTGAAGTTCGCGAATATTCCTTCCAGAAGCCTCTAGCTAGACCCAAACTAGGGCCAAAGCATACGCCAAGTGAGCCGGTACCAGGATGAGTCACAGCTACTGCACGAGTAATCTGGTCTGGAACCTTCGACTCGAGTTAGTCCTCGTCTGACTCTTTACCAACGAGAACCGTGATGCCGGTGTACATGTCATGTGCACAAACTGCCACGGCATAAACAAAAAACTGATTGAGTGATGTCGATGAGTGATGAGCAGAAATAGCTAGCTGCTGTCAACGTCAACATCTCATCATCAGACATGCTCGACATGATAATCTTCTTTTTCATGATAATATCGATGACGACATCATCGCCATTAGATTTTTTTGACATGCGACTTGAAGTATTTCAGAAAAAATCGTTTTGTTTGTGGCCCCTTTCCCTTCAGAATTTTTGGTTTCACGTTTCGTCCTATGAGTTGTTTGAGTTCTATCTGATGATCGATGAGGATATTGTCGCTCTAACAGAAGAGATGGCCGCATTCGATTCTGAACGCCATCAGCGTTGGCGGAGTCAGGTTGTTCTCGGACCTCTGACTGACGATTTCCTTCGTGTCACACCACCTGCCCCGCAACCCACTAGTCAAGCACAAACTGTGTCTGCTCCTCCACCTCAACAGTTTGTTGCCCTTGCTCCATCGCAACTTCCACCAACATACGGCCATCAGTATGCCGCCCAAGCAGCCGGTATCGGTGTTCTGGATATTACCGTCAACCAGGCTCGTCTCACTAAGAACTATGGCATTACACGGATGGATCCTTTCTGTCGCGTGCGAGTGGGCCATTCTGTAATGGAAACACCAACTGCCTCGAATGCTGGCAAAACGCCACGATGGAACAAGCTTCTACGCTGTAATGTACCATCTGGCATTAATTCTATGTATGTGGAGATATTTGATGAGCGTGCGTTCGGTACGGAGGACAGAATTGCATGGTGCCACATCACCTTGCCTGACAGCCTGCTGAACGAGTCTCAAATTGCGGACGAGTGGTACCCACTGAATGGCAAGCAGGGTGAGGGTAAGGAGGGCGTTGTGAACGTGATCATGTCCTTCACGCCAGTCCAGCAGCCGCTGATGCAGCCTCAGCAGCCCGTCATGATCGGTGGGTACGGTCAGCCAGCAATGATGATCCCGGGAGCGCAGATGCCGGTCATGCAGCAACCGCAGCAGCAGCAGGTCATGAGCCAGCCAGGAGCACACCAGCAGCAGCAACCCGGTGTTCTCTCTAATCCCGCTGGCGTGCAGTCGGTGAGTGAGAACGACGTGCAGAGCTTAGTGGACATGTTTCCGGCCATGCCGCGCGACACTGTGCGGTCGATCCTGGAGAACTGCGGCGGCCATATGGAGAGAGCGGTCGACACACTGGTATCCATGGGATGAACTGAAGGAGTACTGCATCGGCGTGCTAAGTGCACCGGGTTGCTTGACTTGCACGCTAACTATGTTGTGCCTCACCACGCCTTATGTTTTGCAGCAGCATTTCACATCTCTCTTTTATCTTCATGGGTTTGCCAGCTGCAAAAATTACTTTTGTGTTCATATTGTTACGCCATGGCTAGCATTACTGTCAATTTAGTGCACGCATACTTATAGTAGGGGAGCTAACGTATAATTTGACACTCAAAGAGTATGTTGAATATTTTTTTACCTCGCTATCAGTTGCCATCTCCTGATGTGCACACTCCCTTTCCTCACTCTGCATGCTGTCTTCCTTGCTGAGACTTTATTTTATTTTAAAACTGTGTTCCAAGTCCTCTTCTGCCGCATAACCGGCTTCCCACCATGTGTTGTGATCAGTTTCACGTCCTGTTTCCAAGCCTCTGCTTTACTGTTTTGCTGATATCACTTGAAGAATTTTACACGCACATTTTTGCCTATTCCTCCAGTTCCTTAGTTTCCTCATTTCTTTTTAGCATTTTCGTGTTTTTGCTCTGTAATTGTCACTATCAACTGCACCCGGAGCTCCTTGGCTTGCTATATTCAGTAACATGACATTGTACTTCAGTATGATAATGAAGGAAGCGGCACAGCAGCAGTGGTATTGAGACCTGACCAGCTTGTCCAACCCAAGCTCTCGGAATCATCACATTGGAGTAGCTGTAGCTGGTGAGTTCATACCAGTGTTGCTTCTCTCTTCAGCGTCAGTCTTGCATGTGATGCTGTGTGGAGTACCCATTCACATGTAGTGCAATACTTGTACGCACTACATACAACAGTGTCTCAACTGGATCATGGAAGGCAGGGAAGGGCAAGTACTCACCGGGCCATGCACGGGCACCCTCCCCTACAGAGAACTATTTTTAGAATAAAAATAAGTAAAATTTCTTGGAAAGCTACACTGTTACTGGATGACGTTTTTGAGCTGAAATCCATAATCGGACTGTACGTACTGTACTTGAAACTTGATAAGAGGTATTTGCATTGCAAAAGAAGTGGAATTGCACTATAATGGTTCGAATTTGCACAGACTCAGCGGTGTGGTGTGACAAAACAAGGTGGCAGAAGCCAGTGTTGGGAGTTCTGGAGTGAAATCCGCCGAGCTGAACCTGACTTCCGAAACTCCACAAGCATTACCTTCTAGCAGAATAGAATGTATTTCCCACTAGACACATGACCGGGATCAGCAGAGCATGCAACTTGGTGAGCAAAGGAGTTCGACAAGTGGATTGATCGGTGAGAAATGAAAAAAATGGAAGTCTTGATTTTTAATAAACTTCACACGCAATTAGACCTACACGCAATAGTCAGTGCTTCGGTCCATTGGCAATCGTGTGTTTTCTGCCCCAGTATAAAGGCATGGTTCCCGGTAACATCTATTCAAGAATCATGTTTAGGGGACCATACATAGTCCCCACTGTATCTATCTCATGCCATGTTTTCTCAAAGTAATAAACGGACGAGAGCAGCTCCAGATTGGCCGTGGTTGTGGCGTATGGGTTGTTATTGCCGGAACCGAGAAAGTAGTCTCCCTTCTCCACCTCGGTTGATGTAAAGTAGTACTTCTCGCCCTGCAGCAAGGTGACCTTGTTTGGCAGGTCAGAATACACAAAGCCCAGTGTGTCCGGAGAGGATGTACCGCTGACAGTACATTCGGCAATCGTTCTCCCACCGGACACCTCCAGAAGGGCCAGCGTGTGGTTTCCATTGCCGTTACCGTTGCCATAGTAACGACCGAGTGCCGACACATGCACTGGTCCGTTGACGGGCTGCACGGCAGCGCCCACTGGGCCGTTGAAGTTGTTGCGACGCGCAGCATTTGCAATCTAATAAAAACATGAGAACATAAGCATACATGTAATTGTGCCAATGTTGAGTTCCTTTGCGTGCTTGCGATACAGTGATCCTAACAGGAGTGGTAAAATACTGGTACTTTACAACTCTCTGGTACTAACTATTCAGTGACAAGTTATTATATAACAACACTAAGTGATGAACAATCAACTCTAAATCACAGTAGCATACACTGACCTTCAATGACTGGACCCATGAGCCGTGCGGTGGCACTGGAGGTGGACTTGCTTTGGCCGAGAAGTTATCGAACACTGCCATATTCCAGCCGGAGGTCAACGCTGCATAGCCAGCGGCATGCGCTGCACATTCGGTGCAGGTATTGTTGGTGGCCGTATCGGAATTCACCGAAGCCTCGTACGATGTTGCATTGGCCATCAATGTAATGGATACCCAGGATTTTGCCTCTGACAGCGGGCTCTGGTGCAGTACGGTTCGACCTCGACTAAGACTCTGCACAACCACCATCCAGACACCATTCTCAGAACCCACAGGTCTTGTCACGAGTACACAGACACCTTCGGGAGTGGACTTGCCGCCGCGTATCCACCGACTTGTAGGTACGTTCAGGCACAGGCCTGCCATCTACACACCAACATGCATACACAGTATTCCACACACACACACACGCAAGCACCCCCCCCCCCCATGCACAAACACACACACACACACACACACACACACACACACACACACACGTGACACACACACAATACAGAAAGGTCTACAGAAGTAGCAAAGTCGACAGGTATTAAATTTTATAGTATTTCATACACTAGTATCTGAGAAGAGTAAGAGACAGGTCAAGCTCATAGACGAGATGCAAACAAGCAGGGGGCCCAGGACATAACCCTTGTTTGTATGGGCAAGGTTTGGTTCGGACGGGTTAAGTGCGATTGTACATGCTCCGTATGAGAATGTAACCCCAAATGAGGTCAAGTGTCATTATTCAATGCTTGCAAGTCAAACCCAATCTTTTAAATTCATGTACATGTATTAACGTTCGGGCCTGGTTTAAATCTGGCTTAGGAAATATATTTTCATTGCTACCAGGTTTGGCCTCATTTTATGAGCCCACAAAGGACGAAACAGTTCTGTCCGCAGATTGTGTACATGTAAGTTCTGAATATTGCAAGTCCGGCAGCTGTGCAATGCCAGTACCACATGCACCGGGACGTGTAGTGGACTTCCATGGTGATGCTCTCCTCGTCAGGTCATAATTCACGTGCCAGCCCAGCAGCTCCAGTGCATAGTAGACACGCTACCAGTATCTGCTCCAGAGCCGGGTCAGCAACCTGGGGGTGGTGGTGGGGGGGGGGGGGAGTACTTAGACCCGTTTGGAAAAAAAAGAACACCGGGCCACTTGTGACCTGGTTTGGAATATTGTACAGGACACGTTGAGTACATTTTCTGTACTTCAAGGGTGTGCACACTGACACCGTGACAGGCTAGCAGTAGCCGCACTTGTTGCGTACCCGGCTCCGACCCGGTTGCAAGAGTTGTGACAGGTACATGTGTACCCGGTTGGTTTGATATCCTAGAGCAGATACTGACTAGACGTGATATTAAAATTCTTAGTAATTTCTTACTTAGAAGTACCTATGATGAAAAAGGAGAAGGACAAAATGATACGAGTTGTAACTGTCCACCAACGTCACCAGATCTTATACAGTCAGTGAGTGCGACAAAATGGCACAAAACCTTTATCGCACTCGCTGACTGTATAAGATCTGGTTATTATTATGCTCCCTAGCGTCAGCAATGTCGTTAGGTTGAGCACTCTTACCTTACCGCGAACCCTTGCCGCTCGCCTTGTGCAACGCCCACTGCTCTTGGAGCATTTCGAGCACTCTTGGTGGGTTTTGCAGCTCTTTGTAAAAATGCTTTGCTTCACGGAAACGTATTTCATTGCGAAGAGCTGCGCTTCGGTCCTCTGAGCTGTGCTGATGAGCTCTAACAGAGGTTTTTCATCATATTTTAATTGGCTCACCATCCGAGTTGAATTTCGCCTTAATTTGTTTGAAGTAGTTCCTTGGTCCTATTATTCTTCTATAAATTGATCCTTGGCTCTCCATCCGAGTCAATTTCTTACCAATGTGTTATTGTACGCGGGCCATTGCGGCTCGTCCAGCCGCAGCATGACCTGACCATGGACGTTGTTCCAATCCTCACTGCCTATCATTGTTGTCGGCAAAGGATTACCAGACCATTGGTTGTGTCCGGGTGGCTCCACAACAACCTGATGTAAGGAAACACAAGAAGGCCACGCCAACGTTTTCACCTCTTCGCGTCTTTATCACTTAGTGGAGCAGGGAAACCAATACGTTAGTAACTTACTCCGTGATGTGCCAGCGGTTTAACCACACTCCATTATTCACCCCAGTGTCGGGAGATATGTGGATTTCGTAGAAGAAGAAAAAGGGGCAACGTAATCGGCATAATCAGGCCACAAAGCGTCACTAGTGCCCTGGTGCATCCCGTCACTGATAATGTAACCTTGAGTTGAAGGCTTCACGGATCAAGGACGTACATAAACACACAATCATAGTATAAGCCGCACCGACGTTTTTGGGTGAATTACTGGCGTTCAAAGTGCCGCTTTTTACTCCAGAAAATAAGGCAGTGAAAATCGAGACTCAGTTACCTGTTGCAGCACCTTGTCTCCGCTTTCGTCCTGGATAATGAATGAGCCTCCTTGGTCAGTGAAATACAATGCCTGTTGGCTGATGTTGTTGTAATCATCAAATGATGTTGAATATGAGTAGGGGAATGGCTGTGATGCTGGAGGATCAGGATGGACACCATGGTGTGCACCTACTGTTGTTGATACCGTGCAGATTGAGTCTTTGTACATGTCCACTCGGAACGAACCATCCGTAGTGTTAACTAGTACATCAGCATGCTGGTGAAATCCAACAGTGGAATTTGTACAAAACAATCTCAGGGAGCTGATCTTCACTGAGCCATCAGGATAACCACCAAGACCACCTGATAGCACAAACTCCACAGTCTCATTTGTGGTGTTTTGTCCTTTACAGCGAAGGCAGTCTCCTTCAAGCTTTTCAATGATGAGAGAAAAGTCTCCGCCACCTGCGATGGCTACAGTGTTCTTTCCCAGAGTTGAACTAGGATCACTGGTTGGTGGAACAAGAGTAATGAAAGATCCTCCACCAGCCAAGTACCCTGATCCCATTGCACCGGTTTGTTTGGTCGGATCACCTTGAGCAAGATATACCCAGCCTGGTTGACTGAACTGACAGGTCTGTGCTGATGTCCAGATAGGATAGTTGACTGTGTAGTAACCACTCCACGGCTCATACGCGTACATCAGTCCATTGCCAAAGTAGGGCAGACCAGGATACACACTCCAGATGAGAGACCTATGCAAAATAGGGCATAAATAACGTCACAAACAATTGGTATCGGGAGAGGAAAACTTGAAGCATCCGATGATCGTATATTCAAGAATCTGATCTCAATAAATCTTACCTGATACTTAAATAGTATATTGGAGGATCTGATATGTTCTGCACCAGAGTCTGTAAGCAATATTGACGGATGCAGTAATAATTGAGCTTACCAAGAAATGGTCGACGTCATGTTCATTCTGAGGTAGTTCTGATTGAAGAGACGACCCCAGCAGCCAGCACCAGCCCAGTTACCCACAGTAGAGTAGTCTGGACACCGGACACAACACAGCACAACGCAATGAACGAGGCTATCATAGCTAGGCCAGCAGTAATTTTGAATCGCATATTACTTGTACAATTCTCCCCACAATCCGAGTATGCATGTAGAAATACACACCGACCATGTAAAAGCATCAACACATCGATACAGCCTGGATGGACGTGTATAGCCTGGTCTTAGGCTCTGCCCTTGAAGTTGTATGCACTTGCCCCACACCCATAGCAACTAGTCTATCTGACACCCCCCCCCCCCCCCCCTCTCCCACACACACACATACATGCATACCTTCACTGGACCAGAACTTGAGTCCCATATCAATGACCTCTGGTGCCGGATGATTGCATGGATAGTGCAAACCGACCACTGATACGGCTTGTCTAAACTCATCATCATGAACAAGAGCATCGGTTAACTGGCTCCTAAGCCACCCTGCAAAGAACCATGAGAGACCATAGAACAAAGCAATGCCATCATTCCAAAAACGCAATGACATCCTTCAACAACGCAATGACATCGTTCAACAACTAAATGACATCGTTCCACTCACAAGTGTGCCACCACAGGCATTCCCCAGCAGAGGGGATCAGTAATTTTTGCACTAGCCGTGTTTACTGAGAGTTGGCAGGGTCTGCTGTAAATACATTGCATTAGTTTACAGAACGCCCCTTCCATTCAGTCATGCCATGGCATGCGTGCTGTCCGACCGAGTCGTGGGAGCCATCACTCATGTAAGTCATCCAGAGCGGAATACTACCGTCGGGAATGACGATCTGCGTCCCAGTGTAGCCAGCTTCATCCATGGCAGCTCGGTACTGTTTCACCCACTTGGTCGTGCCCCACGGGCGCTCATTCCAGATGCCTAGATCGGCACACACAATAAATTTAATACACAAACAGTTTGATGCAAATTAATTCGGGTCTTGAGCCAAAAGAAATCTAACAGGAGAGAGAGAGAGAGAGAGAGAGAGAGAGAGAGAGAGAGAGAGAGAGAGAGTTAGAGAGAGAGAGAGAGAGAGAGAGAGAGAGAGAGAGAGAGAGAGAGAGAGAGAGAGAGTTAGAGAGAGAGAGAGAGAGAGAGAGAGAGAGAGAGAGAGAGAGAGAGAGAGAGAGAGAGAGAGAGAGAGAGAGAGAGAGGGAGATATAGCGATAGAGAGAGAGAGAGAGAGGGAGATAGGTAGATAGAGAAACTACCAATAGATACGGGTTACAAGAAGCAGTCCGTCAATTTAACCAGGCTATGAGCGATCAGATAGTACAAGAAGGCTGTTGGTTTGTGCATGTGGAGATGTTTTCTAGATATAGGTGTCAGGTCGTCGACTGTCCTTGTCAGTTTGGTTCACTACATATTTCGTCTGGAAAATAAGGTATCATCATGTCGCACTACCTCTGTGTTCTCACTCCCACCCCTAGTGGCCGAGCACTATCGCTTTCATCCTGCAAGTAATGGGAACTATAAGGCCAGTATCGCTTGGATATTCCCTGAAGAATATACCAGTACCTACCAAGAAGGAGTATACTATGAAGCTACTAAGCACAGTTGAGGACGTTGTGAAAAGCATGCCGTGGAAGGCACTCTTCACCCTAAAAGGAGCCAGCGACGAGACCAGCAAGAAGACCTACAGCTTCAAGAGCACGAACTGCCCACCCCAGATAGAGGAGTTAAGAGCACTCGAGGATGACATGTACAGCATGGTAGAAAACGTTTCCTTCCGTCGTGCCCCTAACCAACTCCAGGACAAAATGAGGAGGACATCATGGGAGATAATCAAGGACTGCGCCGAGATAGTGGTGTCACCAGACAAGACTCAAAACTTGTACCGCGTGCCAGTCCCCCAGTACGAGAAGCTGATGCGTGACAATATTACGAAGAAATAAAAGCTCTCTCCCAAGAACACGTACGTGGACATTAACGCTGAAGCAAAAGCAATTGCCGTCGACCTCCAGCTAGAAGACTGCATGGAATTCCTCGCGAGACACAAGCGTTTGTAACCTTAAAAGACGCAAGGATAGCTTTGCCGAGAGCCTGCCATGCAGGCTGATCAACCCAACGAAGTCCGAGGTGGGCGTCGTAAGCAAAGACATACTCGACGGCATCATCGGCCCCATGCGCAACGATGTCTGCAGGAACTTGGGAAAATACTGCAGCAGTGATCAGTTGGTTCAAGGCTATTGAGGACGAGCCAAGATATACATGTACATTCATTGTGTTCGACATTACCGACATTTATCCATCTATTACGGAAGACCTCCTACTGCAAGCTCTCGACTACACAAAGTTGTTTGTCCCAATATCCCAAAAGGACACAGAGGTAATATTGCACTGTTGTAAATTGCTGTTGTTCAACAAATGACAAGCGTGGGTAAAGAAGAAGAAGGATGGACCTTTCGACATCACGATGGGCTCATGTGACGGAGCTGAGGCCTGTGAGCTCGTAGGAGCCTTCATGCTCAGCAAGCTCCACCCTCTTCTAGGCAATGATTGTGTGGGACTGTATCGAGATGATGGTCTGGCCATAGTGATGGACGTCACCGGCCCTGGAACTAACTTATCGCTTGCGTAAGGAGATAATCCAGGTGTTCCAAACACAAGGCCTGAAGATCATGATAGACGCTAACAGGAAAGTCGTCGATTACTAGTACCTCGACATATCAATGAACCTCAACACTGGTACCTTTCAACCATACAGAAATTCATAGCGCTGAAACGAATATCCCGAATACTGTATTCGAACATTCGTGAGGTGACGAATATTCGAACTGAATTTTTCAGATCTCTGGCCACACGCAGGCAGCCCACAGGCACGGAGCTAGTCAGGGAGTCGTCAACTATTTGAATACTCCCTGGTGCTAGTGTGTACAAGTGCGACATTCGTACTTCAGCGCTGTTGTGTGAAGGGTAGAATCTCCGCACTCCGCACAAGCAAGTCGTGCCTCGAGTCCTCGACTGCAGAGGGCATCCTCAGTGTAACTGATCACAGGAAGTGAACCCACACGGACTTGTCACGTCTAGTTTTGCAGTGCTCTTACAACCAGGATTCAACACATATGCTAGACACCAACGCGGGGAGTCGAAGAACCAAGAGTTATCAATAAGGTGTCGTCCGTAAATACAGGTATTTACTTAGAGACGTCTAACAGGCGCTTCTTTCTTGACCCACCCATCCACCCCCGGAAACGCCCCCCCCCCCCCCAAATGCAAATAATACCACTCATAATAAACACCATACTATGCACACATATACAGTACAGTCGACTCCACTTAATACGAACTCGCATATAGCGAGCATACATAATCATATCGTTACATTATGTACATGTAGAGGAGACGGCTCGATACAGGGACGTTTTGACAGCCAAATTTGTATAGACCCAAACCGATCATCAGCGTTGATTTTTCACTCGAAATATGTTTGTGGAAGGAAACTGGCTTGTTGAAGTTTGCTCTGGGGCCAGAGTCAATCGAACTGAGCCACTCCTTTGTGTTGACCCATTGCCTCCAAGTTGCCCAATTTTTCGCTTCAAAAAAGTTCAAATCAGAGGTGGCTCCAAACCGGACACGTTTTAGAGTGCACGTCAAATTCACTCTGGGTCTGAAATTAGGTAATTGCTATCGCTCCACGACGGCCAGTATAGAGTAACAATAAGCCTTGTGTGTGCTTCCATTAGTTTTGATTGGTATGCGGTGCTTTATTGGCGAGAGGCGAGCCGCTGTTTACCTGCGACAAGAAGTTGATTTTTCGAAAGTCGTTAACTGACTCAAGTCGCAGTGCGAAGCAACACGTCAAAAACTCACCTGCTTGATATGGCGCTTCTGGTCATCGCAGAGCCATGGAATTTTGGCTCAGAGTATAACACATACTAGTAGTCTCACTGTGACATATGTTTTCTAATCAAAATACCAAGAGAGAAAGTGAATATTGAGTCCGTTCCGGTTTGCAACCGGTGTCCTATTTGAAACCGTCCCCTCTACACGTGCGGTATGGTATACATGCACTCCGAAATGTACTTTTTAGAAACGTCTTGCAGGCGAACCCACCCGCTGCACTGCTCTTCCTTAGTATCAATTGTAGACCCAGCAACCCACTGCTCTTCCTTAGTATCAAATCTGCAGCAGCACATGCAAAAAGCAGCCCTAGCTGCTGGCACATCCACATAGTATACTCCCTGCAAAAAACACGTGGGAATTCCCTTATCTGCATAGTTCACAGCTACCTATGGATGGATGGATGGATGGATGATGCTTATAGCTTCTAATAGTTACCTCACAAACAATGCTTGTAATGATGCTGTTCTGGGTAAACTTTACCTACTACAATATAATAAATATTCACATGGCATATTGTAGTCACGTTGTCACTGATATCACCACTGCTACCACCACTGCCACTGCTACCACCACTGCCACTGCTACCACCACTGCCACTGCTACCACCACTGCTACCACCACTGCCACTGCCACCATGCCGAACGGAAGAAACCGTCACTCTGCCCAGCGCCTTACCCATGTAGTCGAGATGTATGCCGTACACATCCCGTACGCAGTTCATGAAGTCAATGTGATAGTCGATGCCTTGACTGCTGTAGTATGTGCCATTGCCAACCCAGCCTGGTGCTCCCCACGACAGGGCGTATGTCACGATTTTAGGATTACGACGCCGAGCTTCCTGCAGGCAGTGAGAAGTGCAGTAGAGTGTACATCATTCTACATGACTGTACGTTATCTCAGTTTCTCCCTTGCTTTTGCCATTCATGGGCCTGGAGATGACTTTGATAGAGGCCTGCCAGAGATGACTCCACTATGAGCCTGGACATGACTCTGTTTAATATGGACTTGGGGATGACTCTGTCATGGGCCCGGCAATGACTCGGGTAGCCTACTTACAAGTAGACTCAAAGCTGACTGTGTGTGTAATTGTCTTTCAATGCATGACGGTTTGATGACTCGAGGGAGAGACTCCCTGCTTGCCCACACTAGCACAAGGCTAGGTCAGCAGCAGTTGCGGTCAAGCAATGTGTTCACGCAGGCCGCACACGACTCTGAGTCTACGTGTACTCACTTGCAGCAGCCAGAACTCATAGCCCTCGGCACAGCTGTGCATCGGTGGATTGAGTGAGTGCCAGTGAGATGCTTCGGCACCGTCCGTGCTCTGCGCATCACCTCCAATCTCAACCTTTGTGACATACACACACACACATATGTGCGCACATACACACACACACACACCATGTACCACACACACACACACACACACACACACACACACACACACACACACACACCAGGGGCATCGGACACGGTACGATCACTACGGTATTGACTGTACCACCTTTTGCCCCAGGTACCCCGTGTCAATATAAAGCACTGGTCTGGGCTCTAAATTGCCAATTTTTCGGCTCAGCCACCCTCTCCCACGCGTAAATTGTACTTCAGGTGGCTTACCGTACCACACTAAAATGCCTTCCGATGCCCCTGCACACATACACACAAAAAGAAGAATTTTGATAAACATGTAAAGTGCCCCTGGTTTACTTGTCTAGGCGGCGGTCAAGTACTGGTGCCTCTGTGGAGGTAGGTTTGAGCTATGGCCGTATAATACAGCCGGTATGTTCATTGCTGCGTCATATCCCGAAGTTTAATGAGAGTGGATGTTGCGAACGCAAATGCCAGCCACTTGTACTTGCAGTGCAGTCATTGCCATTCAAGGACACACACTGCTCTCTGATTGCATTCCAGTCCTTTGGTCCGCTTCATTATCACAACGACAATATTCCAGATCCACTGCGGTGGAGGTGGAATTGCTTTGTTGATAAACAGGCCGAACTATCTGTTGCTTACCGTTTTAGCACATAATATCCCTCCAAATTTAATCAAGAATCTGAATGATTATCATCATCATGATCATTGGCTCTTCTCCCTCCCCTCCCCCCCCCCCCCCCTCACCTTGATCAGATGCAGGTTGGCACCAAAATTGGGCAAGAACAAATAATCCAGAATCTGTGAGCGATACGGTTCGCTGTAGTCAATGAGCAATCGTGACGACGCCCCGGCTGACAGTGCACCATGTCCGTCATATTCCAGGGTCCTTGCTACTCCATCTAAGCTGATAGGCGATGCGCGAACATTGCTAGCGGACAAAACACAGCCTACGAAACAAATACAAGCAACGGTAGCGAACAATTTGGGCAGTGACATTTTCATGGTTGAATTTGGGTGACTTGATATCGCGACAGTTGTTTTACAGGTCAGGGGGAGAATATCTCGAATCATTCGAGGTTGCTCAGCTTCTTTCGATTCACAGTTTCAGCCAGGTTGCAGTTGCATATTCACGAGCAAAGCAGAATGCCATTGCCAGTGGTAGATCTACAGCATTCAATGATTCATGGTCAGTCGGTGTGGAAGTCAATCGCTTGTCTGCAAAATCACGCTTTTGCCATGTTTACTTCGCCGTCTTCGGCTTGGTCCGCTTGGTTGACTGGGCCATTGGGGTCTCGTGACTCAAGTGTTTCAGACCACGGAGCTGCGTGTACAGGCTCAGTCATGTGGGGGGAGTCTGGGGTATGTCCGAGGCTGTACAGTCAGTAGACCAGGGTAGACTGGACTACCAGTACCAGGTCCACATGGTCACGAACAGACAAGCAAAGCGGGCAAGTGCTGAGCGAGTTCCATTTTCATCGTCGGATGTTGATTCAGGACTTTTCTACAGCGCTAGCGTCCCTGCCTCCTTTTCAGATTCTGCTTGTTGCAAATTGCGAACGAAGCGAAGCAGCTTGAACGACGTTACGTGGAGAGTGGGCTGCCAATTCGCTGTAGACTTGCACGCAAAGGTACCGCGATGAAATCGGCGGGAGGCAACTCTTTGCTGACTGTTTGTGTTTGGCTGGCCACTAACCTGCTCATTCATCTGTCACGCGCCGGTGCTAGTGGTATTTCACTGGATGGCGCTGCAAGAACGTTGATTTACGACGGCCACGGAGCTCTCTCAGCAGGCGCCTCGTCTCGGCTGTTAGTGGACTACGAGGAACCGTGGAGGTCCCATATCTTAGACTACCTATTCTTACCGAACTTCGGAGCAAGCTTGCATCTGATCAAGGTGGGGAATGAGGGCAATCACCATGATCACCCCATTACAGTATGCCTGAGAGTAGAATTTGCTTCCATATCCACAAGCCATTCAGAGCTACGAGATGTACGTCATGTACATTACATGCATAATCATGAGAATAGATGTGAAGGCTCCACTGATGCTGCATTATTCCACCATACAGTACAACCTGGTCTAAGCGACCACCCCACGGCGCAAGCAAAAGCGGTCATTAAAGCCAGATGGTCTTTAGAACCAGGTCCCACAGTGTCTGTGTGGAACTGTCGGTGCATGGAAAAACTGCCGTTAAGAGCAGGTGGTCGCTAAACACAGAGGTCGCTAAACACAGAGGTCACTTACACCAGGTTTTCCTGTGCTATTATTTGGGGAATTGTGTGTCGCTCCCTACGTGCCGGGAACCCGCTCTTTTCCTGCCAACTTGAATCTCACTTGACTGACTCACGACTGCCATCCAGAGCACACGAGAAATCCATCGAACCGTCCACTCGGTAATGATAGCGATGCGTGCTTTAGACGTACAGTACTGTACTGTGGTTGGCATGTCCAACTCTGTGCTTTTACATGTTGCCATTACAGGTTGAGATCGGTGGGGACACACAGAGTACAGATGGCACAGAGGCATCGCACATCCACTCCATCAACCCGCCGCTACGCAGCTGCTATGAGGGCTACGAGTTCTGGCTGCTGCAGGTGAGAACGCTGGGGCTCAAGGGCCCTGTGATCATTGGCGGCAGTGTGTGCACGCATTGTGAAAGACGCCAAATACAGAATATGTTTGGAGGGGAGGGGGAGGGGGGGGGAGCCTGCGGGGCAGGGGAGGGGGGAGCCTGCGGGGCAGGGGAGGGGAGAGATACAGCCGGAAGAGAGACCCACATAGAGAGACAGACAGACAGACAGACAGACAGACAGACAGACAGAGGGGAGAGAGACAGCAAGACAGCCATACATACAAAAAACAACACAGTTGTTAGTTTGGTTGGTTGGTTTTTATTTCACTTCGCACATTCAAACGGGATGACGACCCAATAAAATGACGGCGAAGGCTTAGCCTAGAAGTGGCTATGGAAGAACATAGTAAAAGCTATGGAAGCACATAGTAAGAGAATAGGATACTAATAACTGCGGGTAAACGGGGGGAGAGAGAGAATACGATGTATCTGTGATACTACGTGCGGGTTACTGAACTGCACGGGGAGGGAGAGCAGAGCAATCAGCAGCAACTCGAACTACTCCCTACAGGCGTATGGTACACATGCATGCTTAAACTCAGGTAGCCGGGTAATTGTTTGCCTGGCTTAGTAGGCCATTTGACTGCTGATGGCGGGTAGGGGTGCCTTGTGCCGGGGTCAGAAGCTGGGCGAGCACAGGGCTGGTGCGGGCGTTGATGCACCGCCAGATGGTGATCAATATTTTCTGCCTGTAGAGCTCGCTGACCCGGTACAGGGAGTGAGCAGTGAGCAGCGGCTGCATGGCTGTCCGGGGCGGGTTGCCATCGATACAGCGGATGGCTCTGTTTTGCGTGGTTTGCAGTCGTTTCAGTTGACCCTCTCGCATTGCGGCTGAAAAACAGCAGGAGCCATAAAGCAGGTCGGGCATTATGACCGCCTTCACATACACCTGACGAGAGCGTCTTGATAGGCTTCGGCGTGCCCGCCACAAGGCGCCAATTTTCTTGGCAACCTTGGTGACCACATAGTTTACATGGGTGTCCCAATCTAGGCGATTGTCAAGGTGAACGCCGAGGTAGCGCGCAGAAGACGCTGAGGGGAGGAGACAGTCGCCGCTTTTGACTGTTACTTCCTGTACATGCTGCTGGGGAGAGATAGTCAGAACCTGGCTCTTGGTGGCGTTCAAGATAAGGCCTCGGGACTTCAGCCAACCGGCCAGAGCAGTTGCCGCTGTGGTGAGGGTTCTGGACGCTTCCGCCGCTGAGGCCTGGGAGTCGTACAGGGCTATGTCGTCTGCAAATTGTACACTTGGCACAGGCGAGGAGTTTCACTCCAGCATGCTCTTATCACCTTGTGTGCAGGAAGCTCGGCGTCGTAATCCGAAAATCCTGACGTACGCCCTGTCCTGGGGAGTGCCAGGCTGGGTTGGTAATGGTACATACTACAGCAGTCAAGACATCGACTATCACATTGACTTCATGAACTGTGCAAGGGATGTGTACGGAGTGACTATGGACTATATGGGTAAGTCAGCATTGTCGAGCAAAATTAATAATGGTTATGATATGATCGTCCATACAGCCAGTCATGAGACATAATTATGTCACTATATGCTGCAAACAATTCAAAACGTGCTTTGTTTTCCTGTGGACGGTGCCACCGATTTTCAACTATGAGCCTGCAGATTGAATCTGTGCGTGTGTGTGTGCGCGCGTGTGTGTGTGTGTGTGTGTGTGTGTGTGTGTGTGTGCGCGCACGGGTGTACTTGTGTGCATGTGTATACGTGCTTGTTTGGCAGGAATCTGGAATGAAAGGCAGTGGGGGACACCATCTTGGACCAAGCAATTCCGGTCGGCAATGGATGAAGCTGGATACACAGGGACCAAGATAGTCATACCAGATGGTAACAATGCAGGGTGCACTACCAGGGTGTGGCTCAGGATATAACTGGTAGTCAAATTAACTAGGTCCGTTCTCAGAGTCTATCCACACACTACATACCTGATATCACCCACTGTGGCATGACACTGTTTTGTGACAAAAAAATTGGTGGAGCTGCGTAGCATGCCATGAACCAGACAATCTATGCCATGAACCAGTCAATCCATGCCATGCACTGACTTCAACTTCTACAGAAATGCATGCACTGACACAGAATACTTCAGCTTGGTATTGTCTCCCTATCAGCCCAACTCTGGTGTTCTGTCTTCGGTGAGAACATGGTATTCATGACAAAACATAACCATAGATTTACCCCCCCCCCCCCCACACACAGTTTAAGGAGCTGCATCTGACACCTGAACGTGGAGTGGTGGCATGCCAGCCACGGAAGCGGAAAGGTGGTTCCGGACGCGAACCCGCATTATGTTTTGTTGTTAATATATCCATAGGGCAGTTTCTTTTGGCACGTCCCCACACCTTCAAAACAGGCATGATTGAATACAGGCATGATTCAAAACAGGCATGATTCAAAACAGGCATGATTCAATACAGGCATGATTCAAAACAGGCATGATTCAATACAGGCATGATTCAAAACAGGCATGATTCAAAACAGGCATGATTCAAAACAGGCATGATTGAATACAGGCATGATTGAATACAGGTTACTGACACGTGCTACTTATAAATTATGACAGATTCAGCCCAAGACTGTTGTCCTGGCAGCGTTACCATGGGAAACATGTGTCATCAACTCATCATGCCACTATTGTTCTTTCTCCTGTCGATCTCTGGCTGGCAGGTGGCCTCGGAAAGGACCTGCTGGCGGCTCTTCAAACCGACAGTGCCTTCTTGGAGTCGGTCGCCGCTGTTGGCCTGCACTATCCATGCAATCATCCAGCACCGGAGGTTATCGACATGGGGCTCAAGTTCTGGTCCAGTGAAGGTAACAACCGTGAAAAACACCGTAACATAAAAAGTCAGGGGAAGAGAAATGCCAGAAAAGTGAAACCAATTTTATCAACCCCACCAGGACTCGAACCTGGCACCTTGCTAGTCATATACAATGCTCCAACAATATCAGATCTATGGGACAGCCAGAGCTCTACGTCACCCAGCACTTATATAGCTTTGCGGCAGGGTAGCACGTAGTGAACATCAGTAATGGCGCAAGGAGCTATCTTGGCTGGCTTCCTACAAATCTCTACAAGTAATCATAACATATGCAGCTGACTTGTGCATTCGGCGAGTCGGGAGAGCTTGTGGCTTGAATACAACATTCACATACCTAGGGTAATAGCAAAGCTGTAAAATGCAAACAGTGGCACGCACGCACCTGAAAGCCAAGCACAGTATTTGCTGTTGAGTTTCGTTGAAGTACCGTACAGCTGTATTAGATCTACTTTGTGTGCTCAGGCCCAGTATATGCACATTATTGTATTTCCAACAATTGCTTTTGTGTGTCCGGTGTCCAGACTACTCTACTGTGGGTAACTGGGCTGGTGCTGGCTGCTGGGGTCGTCTCTTCAATCAGAACTACCTCAGAATGAACATGACATCGACCATTTCTTGGTAAGCTCAATTATTACTGCATTCGTCAATATTGCTTACAGACTCTGGTGCTGAGCATGTCACATCCACCAGGATGGTATTGAAGTATCAGGTAAGATTTATTGAGATCAGATCCTTGAATATACAATGCTTGAAGTTTTTCTCTCCCATTGCCAATTGTTTGTGACGTTATTACATTGATGCCCTGTTTTGCATAGGTCTCTCATCTGGAGTGTGTATCCTGGTCTTCCATTCTACGGCAATGGACTTATGTACGCGTATGAGCCGTGGAGTGGTTACTACACAGTCAACTATCCTATCTGGACATCAGCACAGACCTGTCAGTTCAGTCAACCAGGCTGGGTATATCTTGCTCAAGGTGATCCGACCAAACAAACCGGTGCAATGGGATCAGGGTACTTGGCTGGTGGAGGATCTTTCATTACTCTTGTTCCACCAACCAGTGATCCTAGTTCAACTCTGGGAAAGAACACTGTAGCCATGGCAGGTGGCGGAGACTTTTCTCTCATCATTGAAAAGCTTGAAGGAGACTGCCTTCGCTGTAAAGGACAAACCACCACGAGCGAGACTGTGGACTTTGTGCTATCAGGTGGTCTTGGTGGTTATCCTGATGGCTCAGTGAAGATCAGCTCTCTGAGACTGTTTTGTACAAATTCCACTGTTGGATTTCAACAGCATGCTGATGTACTAGTCAACACTACGGATGGTTCGTTCCGAGTGGACATGTACAAAGACTCAATCTGCACGGTATCAACAACAGTAGGTGCACACCATGGTGTCCATCCTGATCCTCCAGCATCACAGCCATTCCCCTACTCATATTCAACATCATTTGATGATTACAACAACATCAGCCAACAGGCATTGTATTTCACTGACCAAGGAGGCTCATTCATTGTTAGCGTTGAGGAAGACTCTCCTCCCCAGTACTTCTTGCTACAGGTGAGTGAGGAACTGGTGGAACGTATGTGAGGAAGAGAGAGAGAGAGAGAGAGAGAGAGAGAGAGAGAGAGAGGAGGGGGAGGAGGAGGAGGAGGAGGAGGAGGAAGTGAAACAGATGTAATTTAGGGAACAGAGAAGGGGGGGGGGAGGGTCCACCCGATTGAAACGAACCCCTCAATATTTCTGGGCAGGGTTCAGGTCTAATAAGACCATGATTGAGAAACAGAGGGTACCAGGTTCAAGTCCTGCGTGGAAGCGGAAGAATCATCAGTTCGGTCTTCAATGACTTTGGTGGTGGGTCTGTTCTGCTCACCTCTCACCGCTTTAGGAGCTGCATCTGCCCCTTGATCCTTGAGGGTGGCAGCGTTCCTACGCGTGCAGAAAGCTCAGTGTCTAGCTGAGTCTCATGCGAACCGCGACTCATTATTTTTAATGGAACTAGACATACTGATGGATGCATGCCTCCCAGGTGCTGAATATAGTCGGTTGTCAACTGGTCAATGTCTGGTGCTTTTTGCATGCATACATGTACAGGTGACGACCCAGCCTCCTGGCTACAACCAATGGGTAAACAACCCATTTCCAACTACAATGATCGGCAACTCAATGTGGGTGAACGTGAGCAGCTCAGTACGAGTACGACTGGACAAGCCATCTTGGCCATCATATGATAATACAATGGTACAGTGAGCCAACTAGACTTACCACATCAGAACACATCATAACTTGTAGCTCTTTGTGTACAGTAGTCGATCATAGTTGGGCTAGCAAGAATTACTTTATTGACACAAGGGAAAATTCAGACGGAAGTGCATACCCAAAACATGGGCTTATGTGGCTATAGCCTGGCAATGCTTTTGTATCGTGGCAGTTTTGCTGTAGTCTTCTTGCCATCCATAGTCAATAGCGTCTTCCAGAATCCAGATTTTTTCATCTAAGAAATTATCTTAGTGTGGAAATGGTGCAGATCGGGGAGAAGCAATCACCGGTTCACAACAGGGTGGCTTTAGACTCCTCTTTTTCCCAGTACCTATGTTCAATGATACTTTCCAGATAGTGTTGCTGAAAGCATGCACAGCTACTACACATGAGTAACATTCCATCACAATGCACCCTGCACCAATAGCAATAACTCTTCCGTATTATAGTTATTACTTCAAGTAGGCTGTCAGAAGGGCAATAGGAGAAAGCCAAACTCATTGTTGGTGCATGTATCCGGGTGTTGTGTTTCCTCTGAAGCATGTCGGCCTCTGCAACAATGTTCCTGCTAGTGGTTGGGCATTCGGTGGCAAATACATGACTCCCTCTGGCGTATGTGTCATTGTGCAAATGGAAGTGGATTCCCCAGGCTCAGGCCAGTGGATGGTTGTAGTCAACAAGCCATCCAGCGGTTCCCTAGTCCAGCACCATGCCAACATCTCTGTTCAGTTTGGCGATTGGGTAGAGGTATCACTTGCTACGACAGCCCTTGGCTTTAAGGCATCAGTGAATTCCGACACGGTAGTCAATAGCTCCTGTACGGACTGCGCTACGTATGAATCAGGGTATGTGGCGCTGACATCCGGCTGGCACTGGGCAAAGTTTGATGACTTCAACGTGTCTGCCGAGCGTCCCCCTCCGCCGCCACCGAATTCCTGGATACAGCAGCTATCAGTAAGTGCCATTGAACACACGACTAGACTATGCATCACGGATCACCAGTACCCATACCTTCCTGATCATGCTCTTATCGTATAACTGCATGACTGTATAACATGTACGCTCAGGGCCTGCTGGAGAGCCGGGTCAGCCAGGTCATACGCCCGGCTGGGGAACTGCACGACCTGGCTGAACAGATAACACCGGGTCCAGTCTGACCCGGCTGAAAAATGTCTCAAACTGACAATGGATTCCTAAAATACCGGTATTTTACGACTCGCGGACCCCATCTGTTGCAAATCTAGCGCAACCGTACACACTACAGTCTACAAGCGACAGAAACTCGGCTAGGGTCAACTGGGGTCAACTGGTTCGAGCGCGATCTGGCCAGCGGCGAGCAGGAAGTCAGGACATTCAAAGTCGATGGGGCAGGCAGTCAAAAGCGTAACTAAGTTACTTTAGCTATAGCTTTTGACACAGTTGCAAGTTTTCAGCCGACTGGTGATTTGGACGATGGAGACCGCAGCGAAGAGAAAAAGAACTCATGCTTTCCAAGACTCTTGGAAGAAAGGTCGACCCTGGCTGAAGCTTGTGAAGACGGCGATGCGGAACGCTGTCGACGAGGAATCTGGAGATGATCATGGCAATCAAGCTCGACGTTCCTGCCGTCGCCGACTTCAACTACGACAAGGCTATGGCTGCATGGCATTCTGAGGTGACTCGGCGCACTACGACTGCAACGTCAACCTCGTCTGAACGGAGGGACCTGGCCCGCACACCCAGAGCAGCAGCGGCAGCAGCAACGCCAGCAGCAGCAACAGCGCCACCAGCAGCTGCAGCAGCAGCGCCAGCAGCAGCAGCAGTTGCAACTCCACCAGTTCTCCAGTCTGCTGAAGCCTTTCAGCAGATGGTGCAGCAGATGCCAGTCGGCTTGGCCATGCAAGTGATGCAGTGGCAGCAAGCAGCCACTCCACAAGGTGCTGCAGGCACCCCCCCCCCCCCCCCCCAGTGCTCTATTATGTGAACATGTTCGTCCTGCTACTAGCACTAATTAGAAAACAGAATTCCTTTTTTTCAAATTGTTAAATCAGAATCCAATGGAACTGCTTTGCATTCTTCACGTAATGTCGTTTACCGGTACCTTCTACGTTTGCGGACTTTGATAGTTCGCCTTGTTCTCTAAAATTTCCGATTTCCGGTAATAAATCCGCCTTTCTGTTTTCCCGCGTTTTGAGCAGGCTTTTGGTTGTTTTTCTGCCGGATGATCTGACCCGGCTTGACCCGGCTGGCCTGCGTGCGCCACGTACACTCTGACCGGGCTGTGTTGAATGTCTAGAGCAGGCCCTGACGCTGTATGAATTAATAAATCTTTAATCAGTCTGGCAGGACTTACCCGTGTTCAGTTTCATCAACAAACCTACCCTGCGCTCTAACCCAACCAACTCACAAACCAAAGGACCAGTTGCTGCTGATCAGAAAATGACAGCCTTGAGCTACTTCTCAAAGGCCATAGTATTGGTCAATTCCCTTAACGGATGGCTCACGACAGTTTGATTTGTGTTCATTGACATTTCGTGTACTGTGTAGATTGGCGGTGCAACGCGGCGCAATGACTTCACTGGCCCAGTGGGCGCAGCTATACAACCGACGGCCACGGTGACTGCGCACAGCCTGGGCCGGTACTACGGACACGGAAACGGCAACGGACAACACCACCTCCGCCTCTACCAAGTGTCGGCTAACAAGACGATTGCCGACGTCGTCGTGAATGGCGCTGGGCAAGTGACTGATTCTCTCGGCTTCATTTACCAACAGCTGTCACCGCCTGTTGTTCTTCAGCCAGGGGAGAAGTATTACTTCACATCTGAGGAGATCACCGGCAGTAGCGACTATTTCTTTGGGCAAGGAGACGATAACCCAACAGCCCAGACAGTTGAGCAGCTACAGCTAGTCGACTCTGTGTACTATTTTCAAGGTGCCTGGGATACGATTGGGGATTCTGGCAGCATGTATGGACCACTGAACATACTATTGCATTGACACACACCACATGCATGCTCATTGCAAATCCTCCTCGTGTCCATAATCAGAAATATAAAATCTGATGGCCCTGTAGATGTTTTGCTGAAGTTTCTCTGTTCTCTGAATATCTTAGAGTGCAAGTAACAGTTAGTTGCATCCAGCTAGAATGGTAAATGCTGCAACATGGGATACGCAGCTTATTTTAGTGAAGATTCTCGGATCATGGGCCTACAAGTACAAGTTTTAGTACATGTACATGTACATGTAGTTCTGTCTGAACTCTGAAGCTTTCGGGACCAATGCAACAACCGCCGTGTGAGTTACCCATGCATGGCCCTATATCCCCTCTCCCCCCCCCTGCTTAGGATGTCGGTATCAAATGAAGGACGGTTTCCTCGCATGATTTCGCATTCACTCTTTCCCAAAGTATGACACGATTCCCTGCACCCTCCACGAACTCAACCTCTGGGTCATCCGTATCAATGAATCCAGTCAACAAAGTAGTCCGGATCCACATCAGTGGTGATATCCGGTCACTTGCAATCACTTCAAGCAGGGAGCAGTAAAATATAGTGTTTACAACTACAGACAACTTTTCTAGTAACGACTGCGGATAGAACGACAATTCGCGAATAACGACAGAATGTCCATGCCAGGAGCAAAGTTCCATCCAACTGTAATACATATAATGAGACTTCGCGTATAACGACACTTCGCGAATAAGGAAACTTTTTTGATGCCCCGCCGAGTTTCGTTATAAGCCAAGTTGACTGTAACAAGACGGCAACGTCTGTAGGGCCTTCCCTATCAAAATAATAAATTCTACTACTACTACTACTACTACTACTACTGTACCTGCTTGAACTTTTTCAAGCATACAAAACAAGTGCCTTGAACGTTTTAAAACAATGTTACATGTCCCAAGGCGCATACTACAATACCATAGCCTCATACTTAGGCCTACTCATACTGTAGTAGTCATAGGATGAACTCACTGACTTGCACTGGCGACAGACAAAGAGATGAGCTCGTAGAATAGGGCCTAGGGGTTGTCTTGTGGGCGGAGTTCCAGACCTGTTGTGTAGTCGTGTTTCGCTACAACCTCTGTGGTCGTCGCTAGCGGCAGTAGCGCTACCTCCTGCTCAGTGCTCAAGCCTCACGGTCTTTCGAAGCTTTCACGGACCGAAGTGCAACGCTAGCGCTAGCGCTGATGTCAGTGACGTCAGGTGATGATCATGACGTCACGTCAGTACATTCGGTACGAGGTACGGAAACGCGTACATCTAGCGTATGACACAGCTGTACATGTACGATGTTACAACGTGTGAAATACTGTGAATCGTTTGGATTTTTGAATGGCATGTTTGTTGCCTTTTTGGGCGTTTGGGACACATTTCCGACCTGTTGCTTTGTAGTTGCTTTGCTGTGGCGTGAATATCTTTCTCTCGCTGATGATCAACTCCAAAATCAGGGTGTCTGAGTCTTTCACGCCATCGCGACCTGATCGAATCAATTGCTGGTGAGACACTTCTCAATTTTTTAATTAATTGCCAATGATTTGAATTGTCCTACTCAAGCAGAGTATACTAGTACGTGCTTGTGGTGAAATGTCGTACTAGTATTGTATGTGCAGTTGTGGACACAGCATTGAAATTCAGTTGAAATGACCGGGACCAGTTCCCTAAATGTGTACAGTCATATCACTGTGTGGAGGTGCAGAAAGTTCATGCAACAAACACGAGCGTGACGAATGTGTTCCAAATATGCGAACGCACACATACATGGCCTTTTTGGGGCAAAATAGATCCATACACGTGGAAAAGGGTACATTTCCTGAACCCCGACTAGATGGAGTTGTAGTACTAGTAGTGTGTACCACATCCGTCCATCGCTGCATGCGTGCAGCGCCAAAAAAGGCCACACACCACGCCACTGCACTGCCATGGCATCACCGGCTGGGTGCACATTTTCTCGGACTCCAATGCCCCCTATACCACTACTGTGACTACTTCTCACACTCAAAGGCAGAACACGTTGAAAAAAAAACTCCGTTTTACAGGTCCTTGGCACGCACTTCTAAAAACAGTAGGGTCCCTGACGTTGATGTGATGCGAGGGAGAAGATGTACTTACATAATGCCGTTCCTGATTCCCAATCACACTCTGGCCTTTCCGTGCATGTCTCTCAATCTAGGCATTCCCAAGCACGTATCAATTGATATGTTTGTTGTCTATGCAATGGAGAGATGCATGCAGTATGTGGCTGAAGTAGGAAGGGCAAGCAAGGATCAGCTATAATGACACTGTGATGCCCGCATGTAGCACAATGCATGTCCTGAAGTAGAGGCATATGCAGATGTCCGAGTATCTTGCCAATACCGCAATACGCCATGTATTGGGCTGCTTTGGGCACACGGACAATATGTAATGGGCAACAAGACGGAGAAGTGGAAACATCCTGAGCGTAGAAGGTGCAGAGCTAGCTTGAAGTGAAAGCCTGTGGAGCAGGCGGGGATGAGGACAGTTAGTGCGATTGCGATGCTAGGCCGTGATCCCAGTCTATGCAAGCCAGGAGGACATCAAAGCACAGAAGGTGTGCTATGTTTAGTTGTGCCATGGTAGCCGTCGGTCTGTCCTTGAGTTGAGCATCGGATCAGTAGGCTAGTCCTACAGCAGCTCGGCCACCATTGTGGCAAGCGACTGAATTGCTATACTGCCATCCTGCCTTGACATCTACCATCACGTAACTAATAGATGCAGTAGATACATGCATGTGGTATGGACAGTGTACTGGTTTCATCCCTCATTTCTTCGTGCCGACTGCTGGCATCTCCATATTCTCCGGTCCTGTAGAGCGAATCAATTTCTACTCGTCGGCAGGCAGGCATAGTGTGATGGTCCAAGACCATGATTGAGGAAAACATGGGTGCAGTGAATGGGATTTTCGGTCTTCGACCACTTGCTGGTGAGCTGATCTACTCACCTCCCACCGCTTTAGGAGCTGCATCTGTGCCTTGATCCTTGAAGGGTGGTGGCGTTCCTACGGATGCGGAAAACTCGGCCTCTAGCCTAGTCTGACGCGAACCGTGAAATTTCATCGGTACCAAGACAAGGACTTATTCGGCGATGTACTGTACAAGCAGAAATATTCGCCGGGAAATTAATTTCGTCATTTTCGTCCAAAGAGTTTTCGGCCTAAATTTATTGCAGGACTCAATGCCGATTTGTCTAGCCTTTTTTCACTGCGTTTCAGCATTCATGGACGAAAAATATCTACCAGGCAAACTGTCTTTCTTTGGAGTTGGACGAAATTATTCACTGACTGACTTTTCTGCCTGTACAGTACATGTACATGCGTTGTACTCTGACAATCCACATCTGAACATGTCAACAGGCATTGAAATAAAGGCTTTGATAGTTTTATGGTAATTGCCACTCGCAGGTTTGTCTGACTAACTGCACCACGTTTCTTCATGGTTTCCCTTTTCTGTGTTTGTTATATAGCCAGAGAGCTGAAGCAGTTCTCACACGCAAAGATGATGCGTGAATCGGGCAGAAAGAGACGGGCCCGCGATAGGGTGTCCGAAGCAGATCCACCGACAGTCAGCTGCTGCATGTTCATTTTATTCGAGGTCAGTAGACGCAGATGATGTGTTAGTGCCTGTGCAAAGACAAGTGACTGTTGTGTGTGATGTGTGGTGCCTGTGACTTGAGCCATTGACGAGTAAGTTTATGTCTGCTACTCTTACTGGAGAAGTTCTGCACGCGTGCTGTATGCCAGCATATGTACTTTAGTTTTGTTATGCTTTCAACACTTGCAAGAGCCCTTCTTTCTGGCGGCTAAGAGCCGAACACGGTGAGCGGAACTTGAAAGCCATGATTACTGGCTGGCTGGTGTATTCACAATCACAGTGTATACGGTTGAAGTGAACTTGCCTCGCAAAACCTTATGCCAGCAATATGGTGGAAAGATGTTGCGTACGAGTAGGTCCCATTGCTTCTCAGTTGATTGTGTTTCTAAGCTGGAAAAAATGGATTTAATAGGCACTAGTCTTTGACAAGATTGTGTTCTTGCTGTATGCGTGCGTGCGTGCGTGTGTGTGTGTGTGTGTGTGCACGCGCACGTGCGTGCGTGCACATGACTGTGTGTCACAGGCGCTGTGTTTCACGCCGTCGGTCATGTTGCTGGGCTGGGCCGTGTACTATGCCGGCGGTTTTGCATGGGATGGCAGTCACAAGCAGTTCAACTGGCATCCGTTCTGCATGTGCCTTGCTATGGCAACCTTCTTCTCTAATAGTAAGTGAGTGCTTGCTGGTGGACATACAGTGCTGCTCACTGAAATCCAGGCAAGTCTCAAACACAAGCCGAGCGTTGCACAGCCCTAGGCCTGCGAACACTAGCCTGTGAATGATGCAAGGCGCAAACTCGACTCACGCGACCGGATTTCATTGAGCAGTACTCTGTACATTGTTCAGCTGCTTGCACTGGGCATGGATAGTTCATGCTGTACACATGCGCCATGCGTATGACGACACTGGTGGGGATTCTACTGGGATGTGCAGCGTACATGGAACAGTTCTAGGTCAAGTTTTGACCAGTGAAATCCCCCCCTCCTGGAATAATTATAAAGCCGTGCTATGTTTGCGCGCACAGCCCGGTGTTGTTTTGGTGCTAGAGTGGTGCATCACCATGATCACGTGTTGCTGTTGTATGGACAAAGATGCTAGGGTTGTGCATCACACGTAGCTGTCGTATGGATGACGGCAAATATCACTGACCAGCACTCTACCATGCACAGAGAGTTCCGTTGGGAAATACACATACGCATTGACATAACTACCTACTGTCTTCGTTTGTCAGGTATCGTGGCATACAGGATATTTCCTTTCCACCGGCGGACACGCAAGTTCATCCACGCACTCATGCACCTGATGACACTGTTTGTTGCGCTCATTGGACTCACGGCAGTCTTCCTTAATCACCAGGTCAGTAGACTCAGCATACACCCTACATGCTGTCTGTGCTGGTGTGTTTGATGCTTCGCAGTAGGTTTGTGTTGCTGCACGCTGGCATACAACCAACCCCGCTTGCTCCCATGCTAAACAGTCCTGTATCTTGCCACTAGAATGCCAACGGTGCACAGCACATCTCCTAATTGTAGCTGTATAAAGGATGCAGTCTGCCGATGCGCTTCAACATGCAACTGCTGCATGCTTGCGTGTGTATTCTTACATACAAGTACACAGAAGTCAGGACAATGTGCTGCAACGCCGAGTTTCACGCAAAGTGATCATCAGGCAACAACGTCGGTCTGACTTCTGCAGGCGCGTAGCCCGCATGCATGGGGCACCGGGGAGGGGGGGGGGGGGGGGGGGGACGGGCACGTGCACCCCGTGAAAATTTCGACCTAGGTTCAGCATGCACATAATGACCATGAATGACATGCACCAAGCAATCCTACACATATGTGGCCAGCTACGTCCCTGGTCTGTACTAGAGAGCTCTGCTCCTGGGTGTTCAGTATTGTTTGAGCAGTGGCAGCCACCTCCTAGTTTGTATTCTTACGCATACAGTACTGTAGTATCTAGCAGACTCGGCGGAGGACGTTCAGGTTGGGTATAAGTCTGAGTTTCATGCCGCTAGGCAATTATCAGACAACTGATCATACGGTAGTATGTATAACTGTTTGTACAGTGGGGCTCACTTAGTACTGAGTACATCCTCTGATAAGACTTACCTTTGCTTAACTGACATTGTCCGGAGCATGACTGTATTGATCCATGCTTTGGTACTGACATTGTCCGGAGCATGAGTGTATTGATCCATGTTTAAAAGTATGTTAGGATAAGAAGTACCTCAGATACTTAACGTTAGTACACTTTCTTGCTGCCCAAGAGGGCACGTCTTATTAGTGTTCTACTGTACCTGTGTGCTGTCCTCTGTGATGCTCAGAGACAGTCAATACCCCACTTGTATAGCCTCCACAGCTGGTGCGGCCTAGCTGTTATCTGCTTAGCTGGCATGCAGGTAAAGTCTTCTCAATTCTTACAAATGCTTTGGCTCAGTTTGGGCAATCCATGAGTCTGAAGCTTGACGAGAGAGAGAGAGAGAGAGAGAGAGAGAGAGAGAGAGAGAGAGAGAGAGAGAGAGAGAGAGAGAGAGAGAGAGAGAGAGAGAGAGAGAGAGAGAGAGAGAGAGAGAGAGAGAGAGAAAGACAGGGAGAGACCACATCGCATTGCAACTGTGCTGTGCCAAATCCCTTGTCCAGAGGTTGTGCTTTTGAAACCAGATAAGCACAGAATATTGTCCGAGCACTTCCATTAATAAGGACCATTATGCAAGCACCTCCGGAACTGCTGCCCAGAAAGATAAAGATAATCAATGCTCGGTATCCACGTGGAGACCGAATATGGGACTCAGATTGATGTGTCCAGATGCAGTTCTTGCACTACTGTACCTCAATTCTATCCTCTCTTCTCTTTTCGAGATTAATGCTGTCACATTGTAGCAACTTCGCGGTGTGTTTCTTCCTGTCCTTTCTTGGCAGTGGTTGTGTGGATTACTGACATTCGTCTTTCCGCTGTTCTCGGCGGGAAAGCGAGCAGACTTCAAGCCCTGGCACGTACGAATAGGCCATCTGATCTTCTTTGGTGCCATCGCCACCTGCCTGATAGGAATCAATGAAAAGATGTCCTTTCTAGGAAAGTAAGTACATGTATTTGACGCTCTGCAATGTAGCTGCTCTGTTGTTGTTTTTAAGCAATGCGCGTGTTGGATTTTACTTTCCGGATCCAAGTTTGGAAACTCTCAAATGACTGGGGTGAGCGGATTGCGACCATGAAAGTGAGCGACTGGAATTTGTCTTGATATCTGTGCACTGCATTCGAATTCGTCATGAACTCGGCGCGCACTGCAATTGAAATGAAAACTATTGAAAATCATCTCCTCATGCTGATCAGTAAGACAGTGTGCCAGGTGCACTTTGGAGTGGTGAGAGTGCTCATCAAGTTCGTAAATTCTCACGGGAGGTTAGGGTCTGCATTTACTTCAGAATCGACTGATTGCATGGATGCTAACAACCGAATTAATATTTGTGCATTCGAACCGTGCATGCCTCGGATTAGTATTGTAGAATTGATGAAATCGTCTGTAATCAATGCCCCCATCGTGGGTGTTTCGCGCACTTGTGTCCTCTTTGTTTCTGCATGCGAGCCATGCAAAACCTACGCATACTGATGCATCACATTGGCCTATATTGTCTGGCCACGGGAAGGTGAAATAAAAAAATAAAAAATAAAATAAAAAAACACCTGTCAACTGGAATGGGTGGACTACACATTTGGCAGGCGGCAATTTCACAAAGCTGCAGATATCGCTCTGCTAACCCTCAGAACAGTTCTCAAGGTATCAAGTCCCACTGGTGTTTCATGACGTTCAAGAGTCAACATCTAGGGGAAGAAAGCTGTGGAACAGGCTCCAGCCCGACATCAGGAACATCCCACAGTACCAGCGATTCATGCGATCCCTCCCAGCACATGCTGCTTTTCAGTAATGCCCCTGCCCGCTGTATTATCATTTCCTTTACTGGCCTAACTGGCTTTTAATACTTCATTACCCACTCTACTCAGTATCATTACCTTCATTACCCACTCTACTCAGTATCATTACCTTCATTACCCACTCTACTCAGTATCATTACCTTCATTACCCACTCTACTCAGTATCATTACCTTCATTACCCACTCTACTCAGTATCATTACCTCATTACCCACTCTACTCAGTATCATTACCTCATTACCCACTCTACTCAGTATCATTACCTTCATTACCCACTCTACTCAGTATCATTACCCACTCTACTCAGTATCATTACCCACTCTACTCAGTATCATTACCCACTCTACTCAGTATCATTACCCACTCTACTCAGTATCATTACCCACTCTACTCAGTATCATTACCCACTCTACTCAGTATCATTACCCACTCTACTCAGTATCATTACCCACTCTACTCAGTATCATTACCCACTCTACTCAGTATCATTACCCACTCTACTCAGTATCATTACCCACTCTACTCAGTATCATTACCCACTCTACTCAGTATCATCACCCACTCTACTCAGTATCATTACCCACTCTACTCAGTATCATTACCCACTCTACTCAGTATCATTACCCACTCTACTCAGTATCATTACCCACTCTACTCAGTATCATTACCCACTCTACTCAGTATCATTACCCACTCTACTCAGTATCATTACCCACTCTACTCAGTATCATTACCCACTCTACTCAGTATCATTACCCACTCTACTCAGTATCATTACCCACTCTACTCAGTATCATTACCCACTCTACTCAGTATCATTACCCACTCTACTCAGTATCATTACCCACTCTACTCAGTATCATTACCCACTCTACTCAGTATCATTACCCACTCTACTCAGTATCATTACCCACTCTACTCAGTATCATTACCCACTCTACTCAGTATCATTACCCACTCTACTCAGTATCATTACCCACTCTACTCAGTATCATTACCCACTCTACTCAGTATCATTACCCACTCTACTCAGTATCATTACCCACTCTACTCAGTATCATTACCCACTCTACTCAGTATCATTACCCACTCTACTCAGTATCATTACCCACTCTACTCAGTATCATTACCCACTCTACTCAGTATCATTACCCACTCTACTCAGTATCATTACCCACTCTACTCAGTATCATTACCCACTCTACTCAGTATCATTACCCACTCTACTCAGTATCATCACCCACTCTACTCAGTATCATTACCCACTCTACTCAGTATCATTACCCACTCTACTCAGTATCATTACCCACTCTACTCAGTATCATTACCCACTCTACTCAGTATCATTACCCACTCTACTCAGTATCATTACCCACTCTACTCAGTATCATTACCCACTCTACTCAGTATCATTACCCACTCTACTCAGTATCATTACCCACTCTACTCAGTATCATTACCCACTCTACTCAGTATCATTACCCACTCTACTCAGTATCATTACCCACTCTACTCAGTATCATTACCCACTCTACTCAGTATCATTACCCACTCTACTCAGTATCATTACCCACTCTACTCAGTATCATTACCCACTCTACTCAGTATCATTACCCACTCTACTCAGTATCATTACCCACTCTACTCAGTATCATTACCCACTCTACTCAGTATCATTACCCACTCTACTCAGTATCATTACCCACTCTACTCAGTATCATTACCCACTCTACTCAGTATCATTACCCACTCTACTCAGTATCATTACCCACTCTACTCAGTATCATTACCCACTCTACTCAGTATCATTACCCACTCTACTCAGTATCATTACCCACTCTACTCAGTATCATTACCCACTCTACTCAGTATCATTACCCACTCTACTCAGTATCATTACCCACTCTACTCAGTATCATTACCCACTCTACTCAGTATCATTACCCACTCTACTCAGTATCATTACCCACTCTACTCAGTATCATTACCCACTCTACTCAGTATCATTACCCACTCTACTCAGTATCATTACCCACTCTACTCAGTATCATTACCCACTCTACTCAGTATCATTACCCACTCTACTCAGTATCATTACCCACTCTACTCAGTATCATTACCCACTCTACTCAGTATCATTACCCACTCTACTCAGTATCATTACCCACTCTACTCAGTATCATTACCCACTCTACTCAGTATCATTACCCACTCTACTCAGTATCATTACCCACTCTACTCAGTATCATTACCCACTCTACTCAGTATCATTACCCACTCTACTCAGTATCATTACCCACTCTACTCAGTATCATTACCCACTCTACTCAGTATCATTACCCACTCTACTCAGTATCATTACCCACTCTACTCAGTATCATTACCCACTCTACTCAGTATCATTACCCACTCTACTCAGTATCATTACCCACTCTACTCAGTATCATTACCCACTCTACTCAGTATCATTACCCACTCTACTCAGTATCATTACCCACTCTACTCAGTATCATTACCCACTCTACTCAGTATCATTACCCACTCTACTCAGTATCATTACCCACTCTACTCAGTATCATTACCCACTCTACTCAGTATCATTACCCACTCTACTCAGTATCAATGTCGTCTCGGAAGGTTGTGAACGAACTGCCTCTTCTATCCTCGCCACGCCACACCTCAAAACGAACTAGTCAGTGGTTTTTCTCTAGAGCTAGAGAGAGAGTTTTCATAGTTTACTTCCAGCGGCGACGGAAGAACTCATAATGGAGAACTAACACTGACAACGAATGTCTAACAACTGACGACGAACGTCGGACAACTGACTCTGACAACGAACGTCTGACAACTGACGACGACCGTCGGACAACTGACTCTGACAACGAACGTCTGACAACTGACAACGACCGTCGGACAACTGACGACGACATGGCAAAAGGAAAAACATGATATCAGAAATTGGTGCCCTCGTCAGCACAAAAGGTGGTGTACTCAGCACAAAAAGGTGCACGTGTCAACAACAAAGCAGCGCAGCAGCATGTACGGGTCAGCAACAAAGCAGCGCAGCAGCATGTACGGGTCAGCAGCACAGAGACACAAATACAGCAGCAGCTACGACGAAGAGACAACACGTGCAGCCACATGTACACACAGAGACACAAATACAGCAGCAGCTACGACGAAGAGATAACACGTGCAGGCGCAGGTACAACACTATCCCCTACCAAAAAAAGACATCCACTCCTGTGGATGGAAGCAAAAGTGAAGTGTATAAAAAACGGAAGAAGACAGACCGGAGAAGAAGACAGAAAGACAGGGGAAATGAAATATGAAGCAACATAAACAGGCGACAATAAAACACAAAAGAGGTGGGCCACAACTGTTGAACGCATGACGAGTAGGCCAGGAGGGTTAACACCAGTCGGGAGCCCCGCAAAACTGTGCACCATCAACGGAACCTGCAAGCAACAGATTTTTGCAGAGGACCCCGGCTGGCGAGCTGTTCGACCTGTGTTTGTCCCTTTGGATCTTTTATTCTTAGAACAGCACCAACCTAGTACGCCACCCATCCACCAGTCATGACAAAACAAAAGTACAAATGCATGAGAAAACAGGTTATGCCGACGGACCCAGCGACGCTTCCAGGAGCGGCGAGACCGACAGTACGCACCGACCGAGAAGAAGACTGGGGCAGCAGGACGCACACTGGCCGGCTGTCCGAAAACCGATGGCGCTACAGAAACTCCGAGAATCACAGGACACACACAGAAAGAGAGAAGGACTGACGCAAACATCTCAGCCATCACCAAAAATCAGAAAAGCACACGAAGGAAGGGAAGAACAGCCAGGAAGAACACGTCAATTGAAACAGGAGCAATTAATCAGTGAGGACACCATTGAGGACACACAAACAAATCGGTTACCAATACGCAAAAGATAATGAAGAAAAACCACAGGGCGCTACCCTGAATAACCACAGGTCTCTAACCTGAAAAAACCCACAGGGATTGAACCTGAAAAAAACCACAGGGATTGAACCTGAAAACCCGCAGGGATCGAACCTGAATAACACGGAACTTATAGTACATCCGCTCACAAAACCGAAAAACCGAAGAAAAAAAACTGTCCGGCACCGACTGGGACGCAC